TTACAGAATCAATTTTGGGAAAGATAAAATAATTAGGTGATAATTAGGAAGAATAGAAATGATACTTATAAATGGCTAGAGATTTACAGAATCAATTTTGGGAAAGATAAAATAATTAGGTGATAATTAGGAAGAATAGAAATGATACTTATAAATGGCTAGAGATTTACAGAATCAATTTTGGGAAAGATAAAATAATTAGGTGATAATTAGGAAGAATAGAAATGATACTTATAAATGGCTAGAGATTTACAGAATCAATTTTGGGAAAGATAAAATAATTAGGTGATAATTAGGAAGAATAGAAATGATACTTATAAATGGCTAGAGATTTACAGAATCAATTTTGGGAAAGATAAAATAATTAGGTGATAATTAGGAAGAATAGAAATGATACTTATAAATGGCTAGAGATTTACAGAATCAATTTTGGGAAAGATAAAATAATTAGGTGATAATTAGGAAGAATAGAAATGATACTTATAAATGGCTAGAGATTTACAGAATCAATTTTGGGAAAGATAAAATAATTAGGTGATAATTAGGAAGAATAGAAATGATACTTATAAATGGCTAGAGATTTACAGAATCAATTTTGGGAAAGATAAAATAATTAGGTGATAATTAGGAAGAATAGAAATGATACTTATAAATGGCTAGAGATTTACAGAATCAATTTTGGGAAAGATAAAATAATTAGGTGATAATTAGGAAGAATAGAAATGATACTTATAAATGGCTAGAGATTTACAGAATCAATTTTGGGAAAGATAAAATAATTAGGTGATAATTAGGAAGAATAGAAATGATACTTATAAATGGCTAGAGATTTACAGAATCAATTTTGGGAAAGATAAAATAATTAGGTGATAATTAGGAAGAATAGAAATGATACTTATAAATGGCTAGAGATTTACAGAATCAATTTTGGGAAAGATAAAATAATTAGGTGATAATTAGGAAGAATAGAAATGATACTTATAAATGGCTAGAGATTTACAGAATCAATTTTGGGAAAGATAAAATAATTAGGTGATAATTAGGAAGAATAGAAATGATACTTATAAATGGCTAGAGATTTACAGAATCAATTTTGGGAAAGATAAAATAATTAGGTGATAATTAGGAAGAATAGAAATGATACTTATAAATGGCTAGAGATTTACAGAAAAGATAAAATAATTGGGAAAGATAAAATAATTAGGTGATAATTAGGAAGAATAGAAATGATACTTATAAATGGCTAGAGATTTACAGAATCAATTTTGGGAAAGATAAAATAATTAGGTGATAATTAGGAAGAATAGAAATGATACTTATAAATGGCTAAAGATTTACAGAATCAATTTTGGGAAAGATAAAATAATTAGGTGATAATTAGGAAGAATAGAAATGATACTTATAAATGACTAGAGATTTACAGAATCAATTTTGGGAAAGATAAAATAATTAGGTGATAATTAGGAAGAATAGAAATGATACTTATAAATGGCTAGATACTTATACTTATAAATGGCTAGATACTTATAAATGGCTCCCAACATTCAAGTCTTCCAACATTCATGTCTTCCAACATTCTCATGAATTTTGCCTTCGGCGCTAAAGAGGAAGAGGGATAAAGTTGGACAAGCGGGAAATATCGGTGGACCTGAAGGGATAGAAGAATATCCGGTGATTTACTGGGGTTAAGGTGAATTTAAAAAGATATGGAGATTCAGAGGGATATCTATGAATCCATGAATTTCGATTGAGATCTTACAGGATCCACCTGAATTTCAGAATTTTAATATAAAAAGTGATTTTTATGTATGCAGATACTGGTGGTAAAGGTATTTGGATTGTAAAGGAAATAGAGGGAGTAAGAATTATGTGGGATATAGGTGGATTTGTTAGGAATTGGATTTGAAGGGATGGCGTGATATAAAAGTGATACCGGTTAATCAGGATCTGGGTTCAGAGTGAGCCTTTACATAACTTGATATCCTTCAAATCACCAGAGAGAATTAAAAACGTTAATTAGATGGATAGGCAAACGTGGATCCTTTTGAATCCCATGATATTCTCCGTAATCTGCGATACTTAATAAATCCTTTCAGCCTCTAAATCCCCAATACCATTCATAATCCACCTGAAATCATTATCCATCCAAACCCTTATATTTTCTATAATATCTCGTGTCTCGTATTTTGTGAAATCTCGATCTCGTTCTCGTATTTTTTTGAGAATCTCGTATCTCGTGAATCTCGTGCTTCGTATTTATTGGGACTCGGCCCACCCCTGGTCCACAGGCATCTCTGGAAAAAATAGTGGTACCATTTGACTCAGCACCCTTTATTACCCTATGTATATATGACATGTTAAGTATTAGGTAATTTAGGGGGTGGGGCAGAACGGAAAAGTTATTAATAAAAAATCTATTAATATAAATTTTAATAAAAATAATTATTTCAAAAATGGATTTAAAAATAGATATTTATTTAGTTTTTATATTATTTAATTTAATTAATCCAAATGATATTTGCAATAATCCAAATATTCATATTGGATATACAAAAAAATAACAAATTATAATTAATTTAATAAATATTGAATTTATTAAAGACAACGAATAATTTTTTATCTCTTTATATCATCACTTTTAATCACTTTATATCATCACTGACCGATTGTCCACTGACGCATTTTCCACTCACGCATTGTCCACTGACGCATTGTCCGGACACGAATTAGGGGGGGGGTACTCGAATCCCGAATCTTATTTTTCTTGAATCCAAAGAATTAAAACTTCAAGGAAATTCCAACTAAAGGAAATGAAGGAAAATTAAGAATTTTAGTTAATTTTAATAAAAAAAATTTAGTGAAAGTTGAAATTAAAATTAATGGAATATTAAATAAAGAAGATAAACTTTATTTAGTGCCTTCATAGAAAAGAAGTTTTAAAGATAAATTTAGTTTTTGTAGTTATGGAATATTTGATAATAACAAAATTTATACAAAAAAAAAGATATTATTAATTTAAATAAAAAATAATTTTTATTTAAATGAAAGGTTGCCATGGATTGGATATCTGTTTTAAAAATGAAACAAAAATGAAGTATGTACATATAATAAATAAATAGAATATATTAATTAATGTCGCCTCTTGACTTTCACTTTAAATTTCAAATAACATATCTGTTTTAAAAATTCTTATTAATTGTTATTGGCCCCAGACCAGAGCTGTATAAACAGCTCTGGTCTGTAAGTATGGGCAAAAAATAAAAATTTTGTTTTCTAAAAAATAATTTATAAAATTTAAGGCACTTGTTAAAATTAGACCTGTTTTTAATGGGTTAATTTAAATAAATATAGGAGATGAAAATGAAGATTACCTATTTAAATTCAAATGACATTGCACAAACAACTTATCCTGGAGTTTAACATTTATTATACAAATGTAGAAAGTTTTATAAAATTAAATGGAATTGAAGCAAAATTAGTGGAATATATATTCGGATAAATTCGACAAATCCGAATAAATCAACAAAATTTATTTTATTTTTAAATCCCAAATGGAAAATGGAAAAACAACAGAATATCCAAAAATATTTTTAATAATTTAAAATTAAAAGAAATTGGTGGAAAAGGAGCAAAAAATCCTTTTTAGAAAATTTCCTTTAAATTTAATGGAATTGAAAAATATTTTGTTTATACCTATTTATAATTATCCTTTTTGAAAACTTACATACATATGTATTTAATTTTTTTGTTAAAGTTGAAGATGCGAATAAAAAAATGTTTACAAAAATTTTTTGTAAATAATTATGCAATAGAAATATTACACGAATTAGATGAAAGGATTTCTATTGACATTGTTAAAACAAATAATAAAGAAGTTATTGAAGATTGAAATATGATAATTATTCAAGAAAAAAATTTAAATTATAATTATGATAGAAAATATTATATTCTTAGAAAATATTTTACTCAGTCGTTTTTTATCGAAAACGGGTGTTAAGAAATTATAAAACCATTTATAAAAATTTGTTTATCATATTAAAAATGCTTGAAAAATCTGCAACATTTTCTGTGAGCATTTCTATTGATAGCGAGTAGAATAGTAAAAGAACGAAGTCTGTAGATAACCTTTTCGTCGATATCTCGAATCTCTCAACGGAAAATGGGAGTATAGCGCTTCAAAAGCTATTTTCACGAACATGAAGCTGAAGGAGAGAAATTGCTATAGCCCAGCTGCTTTACTGCTCTAAATGTGAACTTTTTTTCTTAAAAGGACTGGGCTGATCTGGACATTCCAAAAAGATTTATGTTTTTGCTTAAGAATCTTCCAAAATTTTCAAATTTTGCGCCTGCGGCGCAAAAAAAGGCGAATTTTGGCCTGTGATTTATATTTTTTCCATCAAATTTTAATTTTTAATGATTGATAAAAAAAATTATCTACCCCTCTAGGGCAGTCACTTTACCTGCAACTTTAATCTGCTCAGGTTCCTCTCTCTTCTTTTTTATTTATGAGGAAAAACTTGATGTCTTTTTTCCCCCAGCGTTGCCTAACTTGCCAGATAGACACTCTAGCGCACTCGTATTTTCCTTTCCACGTTGTTAAAGCTGTTTAGCCTGAATTTTTTACTATAAAAGGCTAAAATTTGGGTTTACATCCATAATATAATTTTGTACTATTTCGGTAAGTGTGTGTGCTTGTGTTCCCCTTTTTTTATTTTTTCCAAAATTTCCCTCGATTTGCCTGAGGCAATTTATTAATCAAAAATGAACCATGGAACTTAGATTTCATAACCGGAAATAACTTTTCATAAATATAACTTAATTTTTGAATGTTTGAATAAATTTAATCCATTGCTGATTAATAATATGTTAAAGGCAATTTGATTGAGATTTTGGAAAAAATAAAAAAGGGGGACATAAAGTAGCATTTACCCTTTTCTTTTTTAGTTTCAACTACCTATTTATTTATAATTGTTGATTATTCTTAAAGCCTTTTTTCTCCGATGTCCTACGTGCAGATCTCTACTACAACGGAGGCAGCTTCTCAACAGGTTATAAATTTTTTCAAAAATATTTTCAATTTTTTCGTTTAGTTGATAACTGAAATGAAGGAATATATCACCAAAATTGGAGTTGGAGAACAGATGATTAAAGAAGGATTGGAAATTGTTACAACCAACAAAAACAATCTGAAAAATTCAATAGCTAATTTTGAGAGAATTGTGGTCGGGAACGTAGCAAAATTGTTTGTGTTTACTGCTGAGGACAAGTATTCTTTGTCTAAGAATGGACTTCAAGTGAAAATAAGTAAGTCTTGAATTACCCCTTGATTTGTTTAAAAATTTGTATTTTTTAGATGAGGATGCTCAATATATTAATATCAGAGGGTTAGCTAATATTATTGATGACAAGAACTTCAAATATTTTGAAGTTTGTTTGGACAATTTTGAGTAATTTCTTTTAAAATTATTCTAAAAATAAATTGATATTTAGTTTTGCTTCCGTTGGTCTGGCCATCAAGAATTATTCTTCAACTGCCTTTGTTGGCTTCTTACCGTCTTCTTGTTCAATTGCAAGCGACGGGAATCTGTATGTCAACGGCACGCCAAAAAAAAATTCTGAAAGATGGATTTACCTCAAAATGTACTGTTGGTGTTGGAGTTAAAGAAGTGGCTCAGCTTCTTGATTGTATTTATTACCGCCGTAAATATGTCTACTTTTGTGTTAATGGGGAGAAAATCGGTGAGTGATTGAATTTAAAAAAATGTAATTTCCCTCAAATTTTAGGCCGCAGCATTCCTCTTAGTGTGGATGGACCTTTTCCTTTTGTCTCAATTCGTGGTCTTGGGGCCACTGCGTTCTTCAACTTTGGCGATAGAGAGTTTGTCTACAAAGAGGGAAATAAATAAAACAATATAAGTGGTTGAAGTTTGTATGTATAGGTATATAATTATTGTGATTTTTTTTATTGATCATCAATATTTGTGTTTTTTTAATGATCATCTAAATCTTTCTTAATTATCGTCTGTTTTATTGCTATTGTGTGTGTGTGATTGTTTTTGTGTGTAATTGTATTTTTTATTGCAAGTGTGATTAATTCAAAAATTAATTGGAGACTTCTCTCCTAAAAAGTGAAAAAACACTTACAAAAAATTATATCATCCTGCACAATTCTCATTTGAAAAAAATTTTCTCAACGAAAAAGTTAAACCATAGGCGAATTCATCTCTGTCTAAATTCTAGTTGAAATTGAAAAAAAATTTTCGAAATAATATTTTAGTTTTTAAAAAATCTTACAAAAAACAATAAATCACTATATTCATTAAATTTTAACAATAACTAAAAAATTCTTTTTAATTTTTCTCTCAAAAAAGTGTTCGTTTCCATCGACTTCTCTCATCTAATTCTCTAATTGTGCCTTTAGGAGAAACACTTCTTATTTGCATTCTATCTTCTTCGTCTGTATCTATTTGCTTTTCAACTCCAAATTTAGTACTTCCATTCCTTCCATTTATTTTTTGACGAAATCCTTCTTCCTCCAAATTTGTTCCAACAACATTTGCTCGGCCACCAAAATTTTCTAAAAATTTGAAAAAAAATTTTGGGATTTTTTTAATTAAAAAAAATTATTTTTAAGCTGCACAAAAAATAGAAAAGATTTTATGTCTTAAAAATCCCAAGATTCATTGCAGCAACTAGCTGCCCCAGTTAATGCAACCATCTCGAGAGAGTTGCCTTTTTGGTGTGGTGGGATAATGTTGAGTTTATTGAGGGAAAATGGAAGGAATCGATCCTATTCAATGAAAAATAATTTTATAATCCAGTCTTCTTTTTGCTCAGATTCTAATTAAATTTGGTTGGCAATTGGGCTCGGGGAGCTGCCCAAGCAAACACATAATTTTAAATACTCTCATTTTTGAGGTATACAAAAATGAGGTCCGATTGTTTTATTTTCCTGGTCCCTAATTGTTATAAAATTCTAGATACATGATTCCAGCAAAAACATTCCCCCCTCCTTTCCCCCAAATAAATTCCAACCATAATATTGTTGTTGTCTATTTCCTTCTCTATAAGGTGGCGGGGGATTAAACGATTGTCTACTAAATTTATTTCTTCCTTCTTTATCTTCCATTCTCCATTCTTCTTCCCTTTCTTCAATTTCTTCCTCTTCTCTAGACCAACTAAACCACGGAGATGTTGGAATTATTGGAAGTGCTGCATGATGTTCAAAACGTTCAAAACCATTACCAGAATCTATTAATCTTTGATTTCTTCTGCTTTTATCAAAATAGTCAATTCCAGATTCGTTAATTGGGGAAAGTGGGGATATTGGTGTTGTTTGAGCTGATTGGTCTGTAGAAAATATTTTTCGATCTTTTGGGAGTGGTGGAAGAGGAGGTGATGGAATTGGTGGTGGTATTGGAGAAAGTTGTGGCGATTCTTCCTTAATTTTTATTTTTATTGAAGGGATTGGCTACTAAATATTTATAGAAATGGTACACTATAAGATGCCAACTCATCTCTGAAATTATGCCATGAATCACAGGGGGTTTTGGGATCATTTGTCTTCATTGAGATTAATTTTTAAAGATTTAATCAAATAGTCGAACTCCGTCGGAGGAGATAGTAGATGTGTGGCATAGGTTGATTGGGGATAAAACTTTCCTAATATTCCCATTCCAACTAGTCACAAAATTTTTTAGTCTTAATTTCTCATCTACATAATTTATTTTTTTATTCAACCCTCTATATTTCCAAGAGTGTAATAGTTTAAAAAAACTTCCAAAAGTGTTTTTAAAAACTAAATTCTATTATCTGTAAATTACCTTCTTTTGTGGAAATATTCGTCCTTGTTCTTTTCGCCTTCTAATTGCCCAATAAATACACAATCCCAATAAACAACATAAAATCAAAAGTAAAGCCAAAAGGCAAAGAAACAATGGAATAAGCCAAAAAGAATCATTATCTCCATTAGAAGGGCAAGAATCTCCCCACAAAAAAGGCATCCAACACCCACTAGAATATTCGCCAGTAGAAGGGGGAAGAACTGGAGGAGGCAGTAGAGGAGGTGATGGAGGTATGGGCAATGGGTATTGGCAGGAAATTGTCATAGCTAAAGACGAGAATGATTCCAATAAAGGTAGACGGCCACATGCATTCTTTAAAAATTGGAAAAAAAATTTTTTTTAATTATTATAGGAAAATGAATTCAATTTTTCCTTTATTTTTTTAAATTTTAATTTTCCTTTTTTCCTTAAAAATATTTGAAAGGAGGCAAAGAAAGGAGAGAAAAGTTTGAGAGAAGTTGGAAATAAATCTTGGAAAAATAAGAACCCCAAAAGATCACCTAAGCTTTAATCAACGGTTGATTATTATGGCTTATTGGTGCCTTCTGTGAATTTATTTTTAAAAAATATTTGAAGGAAAAATTGGAAAAATTTCTAAAATGGAAAGCCTTTCATAATTCTACATAAAAATCTACTTTAAAATTTTTTTTTAATTTTTTATTAAAAAATTCAAACATCACAACAACCACAGCATTTGACAACGAGTGTTTGACAGTCAAATTTTAACAAAGTTTGGGGAGCTACAAAATGAACAACTAAAAATTTAATTAAAATTATTTTAATTATTCTAATTTAATTCTCAAATACCAATATATTTATTTGTTTCACTTCTCCATTCATTTTTATTTAACCAAAAATTATCCCTTCGAAAACAACCTCCTCCCTGTAAAAATTGAAAGATTCCATTGCAAGTACAACTTTCTACTAAAACATCCCAACGACCAAAAGTTGGCATTTCTAATACTAAACTATATGCTCCTCCAATCATTATCTTGCCTTTAGAAAATTTGGAAAAAGATTTTAATTAATGAAAATGAGAGAAAGTAATTTAGGTATTGCATTTAAATGCCTTGGCTTTTTTTAATTCATAACTTTTTTAAATTTCATCCTTTTCGGTTAAGTCATCTATCATTCGAAAGCTCTAAATCTGAGCTTTATTTTACTTAAAGGGACCATGAAGATCTGAACATTCCCCAAAAAGTTATGGTCAATTAACTAAAGGTAATCGTGATTTTCCATTAATATCCCCCTACAAACTTTAATTTAAAAACTTTAAAAATTCTGATTTAATTCTGATTTTAAAATATTTTTAATTATGCCTTGATATGGTTGTAATTGTTGTTCCCAATTATATTCTAAAAATTGTTGTTTAGGCAGAAATGAAGGGAAAAGTATGTGCCCCTCACAAATCCAAATTTTGGGTTCTGGATGTGTAAAAGCTTTGTTTGGAGGGAAGAAAAAGACTAGTAATAAATTGAATAAAATAAATAATAACGAGATCATCACTTCCTTTTTTACTAAAAAAATAGGGAGTGATAATTTAAGTTAGTTTTTACATTTGCGGACAGATTAGGAACAACAGAATTGTCTCTAGGAGAAAAAAAATGTCTGGGACAAGTTTAATATATTAAAAATTAAACTTGAAAATAAAACTTTATTCTGAATTGAATTAATTAAAAATTCTGATTTTTAATTCTGATTTTAAATAAACAAACTTGAAGAGAAAATAAATAGACAAATATAAAAAGGCTTATTTAAAAAAAGGCTTATTTTAATTAAAATTCTGATATTAATTCTGATTATATAAATATTCTGATGATATTAAATAAACTTGAAGGTATAAAAGGGAAAATAAATAGGAGAATTAAAGAGGGCATTTCAACCTTCCTTCCCTTCTCCCCTCCTTGTTATTTCATTAATTGTCCGATTACTTTTTTTAGTTTTCTGTCCATCAGAAAATAAACGGAAATGTCGATGATTACCTTTTCCAGAAATAAATAAAAATATATAAAAATAAACCAAAAAATAGAGAAAAATCTTTTAAAAAATGACCAAAGAGAAATAAAAAATAAAGCCAATGAACGAAAAAAATTCGTAATAGCGTAAAAGGTTTTGTTGGTATTTTTAATGTATTTTTTAAGCAAAAATAGACAGGCGGAGGGAGAAAATGTTGTTGGGAAAGATGCGCCAAGTTTGTTTATTTGTTTGTTAAAGTTTATATTTTTTATGGAAAAGGTTGGAAAAAGTTTCTCTAAATGTTTTTGATATTACAAATTATTGGAAATTTTATTTAAATAAGAAAAAAGTTCTAATAGAATTATTATAGTAGTTGAACCTGGATGTGGATCAGGAATAAGGAGAACAAATTTCCGAATGTTGGTTTTTTAGTTATTCTGTCCAGTGGAGAATGCATACTATTAATTTTGTGTTGTGTTCGTCAATTTTGGTACTACTACAGTACTCCCGAAAGTACCGACTCTGTACACCCGTTCGGTATTCCCGAAATCAGACCTGAAAAAATCCGTTTGGCAAACACTAGTTTTAAATGTTGATTAAAACCTTTTATTTGGGTTTTTCTGCCTGTCTTGATTTCACATTTTAGAATTATTTTCTTTAGATAATTTCACGAATTTAGTAAAAATTTAAAAAGTTTTTTTTCTTTTCTGGAAGCCCAATTATCTCTTAACTATTTAATCTTCAGTCATGAAGTAGGTTTTGACTGTTGCTTTTATTAAAGAAAATATGGCTTAAAATCTTGATAAAATTTAAATGAATATTTTTAATAATTATTAAATATTTTTAAACAAATTTATTAAAATGAAAATAATTTTTTAAAACATTTATTTTTATCAAATATAAATTTTTATTCTTCTCCAATTTTATTCACAAAAATTTTACAAAAATATTTTTTGCTTTTCCCTTTGTAGTTAGTTTTTGAACACTTTCTTCTTTTGTCTTTTTTTGAATTTTCCAATTCATTTCTTCTGTTCTCTTTCAGGTTTTTGAACATTTATGTAAAAATCAAACTACTAAAAGATCGATAACCAAAAAATATACAAATGTTGATCTAAACTTTGGTGATCTTTTGGGATTTAATTTTTTCAAGTTTTAATTATTTTGTTTAATTTCCAACTTTTTTCTCCAACTTTTTTCTCCAACTTAGTTTCCAACTTTTTTTCAAACTTAAAACTTGAATTTTTCTGATTCTCTAAACTTTTTTCTCCAACTTTTCTGATTCTTTAAATTGAACATTTTAAATTACCAACTTTTTTTATTCATTTCGTTAAAACTTGACAATAAATTTACATATTTTCCAACTTTCTTTCTCTAACACAAAACTTTAATTTATTTAATTTTTCAAACTTTTCATTTCTCAAACCTAAAAAGGAACAAACAAAACACCTTTTATCTGTTCCTCTTTTTATAGCTTCAAAAAGCCGCTTTTTCGTCGTCTTTCCCTCAGGCGAATATTCTTCCCTTCAATTCTCTTCTAGTCATAAATAATGCTTCTGTTTTTTAAACGGAAAATATGCCTTTTTGCTGTTTTTAATGTGATCCGAAGGTAATGGAAGGGAAGAGGAAGAGGTGTGAAGTGGACGGCTCAGACAAATAAATATGTCTAATGGTCATACAAAAAATGAACAGACAAAAGAAAGGAAGAAAAGTTGCATGTAAAAAAACTTTCCGTTTAATTATTCTGTTTGGCTTCTTCTCTCCTTTATTCTCCCCTTAATCTATCCATATTTTTCCATCCATAAAAAAATATGCAAAATTTTATATTAAGAGCTTTTAGTATCCAAGCATTTTTAGACAAACTTTTTTAAACACCTTTTTGCATAATCGATTTGAGGTGATCCTTAAAGAAATATTTCTGGATATGAGCTATATTTAATATCTAAGTAATCGAAAAAGAAAAATAATTCAACTACCTTATTTGCTAAAATACACAGGGTAATTATTGTTTCAACCTCTCGCTGGAAGGGGTTTATTTGAGAGAGGGACATTATTTCATCATTTACGGTATACGAAAAAATAAAAATAAACTTAAATTTCGAGTCCTTTTACTATGTTATACATATTTAATAGATTTACTAAATTAATAAAAAAACAGATGAAATTATTTATTAAAATTTTTCAATTATTTTCTCTTTTTTTTAATTTTCTTCCTATATCAAAACAAAAGCCGTCATTTCCTTTAAATTTTAGCATCTGCTGGATCAACCCTGCCTCATTTGGATTTTCACAAAATAAAATTAAAGGGTTAAATAACGGTCAAAGAAGCTTATCCAAATCCTTCCCAACGGATTTTTAATAATAAAAAATCATTTATTCCGCCAGTTAACGAGTTTTTTTTCTAAAAATGAAGGTAGAAGAGAGGTTTATTTGCTTTAATATTTATGCCATCGATGGAGATAAAAATTGGCAAAATTAGAGAAAAGTAAAAAAGAGGAGAGTGAAAGTGGAGGGAGGGAGGGATATTTGAAGAGTACACCACTTACCTGAGAATCCCCCCCCCCTCTTGCAGCAAAACTGCGCAGAAAAAAATTCTTTCCAACGAGACTTGGCTTCACTCAAAAATTCTTCGTGCTTTCCCTTCACTCCTGCGCGGATTGCATCCTCCTCCCCCAATTTTCTTCCTTTTTTTGTCCTTTATGCCCGTTGACCTGTGGTCTGTGTCCTACTACTCTCCCTCGTATTTTTTTTACAATTTTGAAGAACAACACACCCACAATCATTTATGTATACATCCCTCTTCCCTTTACCTTCACATTTGCATTTTTCGTCCATTCCGCCGGTTTCTTCTTACCTTTCTTCCCTTATTTTTCTGTCCATTTTTTCTTCAATGCACACATTCAAGGCCTTCCCGTACAAAATACTAAATATTTGTTCTATCCACAATTTTACCAATTGGCCACCCAATGTGTCACACAGAAAGCGGATGATTAGAAAAAAAAGAGTAAAAGCCCCTCGCCGACATTTTTGCCTTTTGCTCTACCCTTTTAATAAAATATTTTTGTATGCACGAATTATTCCCCCTCTGATCGATCAATAACAGAGTTGGCTAAATTGGTGATTATTTTTGTCAAAATTCTTCTGTACACCCAGTGTGTGTTCATCGTTATTCATCGTTCTACACGGAGACATAAATTTATTTTTCCCATTTCACAGCAATTACTTTCACTAATTTTCGACTTTTCTCATTTAAATCTTCTTAATATGCAACTCATCTTAATCAACAATTTCCATTTTATCCCACTCCTCCCGGCTCTCTGTTTCACATCTTTAGGACCATTTCTTCTACTTATTAGTGTTTCACAGGAACCGAAATTTTGACCAACCGGATCTAATTTTAGTTCTGATTCCCGGAACCAGAACCAAAAAACGCCGGAACTTTCCGGCACCGGAACTTCCGATGAAACTCTACTGCTTATGTATATCTTAAAAATAAGTTGAGTTACTGAATATAGATATAGATTGATAGTAAGGTTGGTGGAGATCCGCCAACCCAAGATCCACCAAACTTGATTGCTAACATAAGTTTACCCCCAAGACATATGTATTGGAAGATCATCCCCCAAATTTTTTGAACACTACAAAATTCAAATATCAATTTCCAGTCTTCCTGTGCATCCCTCTAATGACTGTTCTTCGTCCTTAATGACTCTCTTCCCTATTCCCAAGGTCCTTTTTTTCCTTCCCTTTTTCAAAAAATAATCCTCACTTCAACAAAATAATTCTTTTCATCCCTTTAACTTTTTTTTTCAATTTTTCAACTTCCAATCATCACACACAGATTTTCATGCATATATATTTTTATTTTTATCTGTTTAGTAGATCTTCAATCCTCCTCCCTCCTCCCTTTTATTTTTTACACCTCTTCTATATTTTATAACTGCCCTCATTAATTCTATCAAAATTGCAATCGTCGCGCATTTGTTTGAGTCAATCGAGGCAAAGAAAAGATTTTTTTATTTTCTCTCCATGCTTTCCACATTCCTCAACTTTATTTATTTTATTCTTTAATTTTTATATTCTTCAATCTATTCATTTAATTAAACAAATTTTGTGTCCATTTTTTTAATCGTTAAAAATTTAGGGGAAAATTGAGGGGGGGGGATTGAAAGACCAAATTTGACACTTTTTGAATACTCCCTTTTACCTTGAAAGCAGAGATGAGTCGGAATTCTGATTTCCGACATCTTTTTCCTTCCGATTTCCGAAAAACTTTTGATTTTCGATTTTCTAGTTCCGACATTTGAGCCAGTTCCGATTTCCGGCTCTTCCAATTACCGACCCCTCTGACTGTTCCAACCCACCTCTGCTTGAAAGGGAGGGAAATGGTTAAAGGTTAAAAACATTAATGATTAACTTTAAATTAAAAAAAATATTTTTTAAGTGACCGTCAAACACACTAACACTTAATCTGTTTTGGAAGGAGTATCAGTGAAAGGAGGAAATTTGTTTATTATCTTCAAAAAAGGTCAGGTATCATATTGCTTTCGCCTCAGAAAATTTTGTTTTTTTAATCCTCGGAAACTCTTTTTCTAAAAATAATTTCCCTGTTTTTTCCTTCCCCCAAATTTGCCCCGTCTCAGACGGACACTTTTGCAATTCCAAAAAAAATCTCAAGCATTTTTGAACTTTTAAGAAATCTGAGGATGATTGGTTGTTTAATTGGTATATGAAATTTAAAAAAACCGAAAGGATTTTCATAGAACAACAAAATATATCCATTCAAAATTTTTTTGGTGTTCAATTTTATTCGCGCAACATAAATATTTGTTTGTGTGAATATCATTTCTTTCTATAATAATTCTTCAAAGCATTATTTTTATTTATTTTTCTGATCGATTTTAATAATTTTTGAATAGAAATGTGTGAATTAAAATTAAATGGAAAAGTTTTTTAATTTTTTGGTTAAAGTTGCAGAAAATTTGTGAATATGAAAAAGGAGTAAGGAAGGAATACTCGAAAGATTTTTATTTAAGAAATTATTTTAATGTTGTTGGGGATCTAACAGTTGTTTTTAAATTTTAACGGCAAATTATACAGTTGTAGTTGAATAAGAAGAATCAAAATTGAATGAAAAACAAATTTTGAAAATCTTTGTGTTAGTTTTTTGAGCTTCGATCAATCCTCAATCTCTCTATACCGTAAATGCTCAAATAATGTCCCTCTCTCAAATAATTACCCCCGCCCTATTAATTGTCCACTACATCCAGAGATCGAAAAAAATAATTACCCCTCTTAAAGATAGCTATAATTAGCCTTTTAAAAAAGCTCAACTAATTACCCCTCCCTTTTAATTACCCCTCCAGCGAGAGGTTGAAACAATAATTACCCTGGGTACTTTTAAAATTTTAAAATTTTATAAAATTTATATTTCCTCCTTTTAATTATTATTAAATCCAAAAATATCAAAAAATCTCTCATATCACTAAAAACTATTTTTTTCATTTCTTTTTGTGCGCAAAATATGCGAAGAGCAATCATTATATTATTTATTTATTTATTTTAATTTTTCTCCAACAAAAATAGTTGATAAAAAAAATTTTTTTTTGATTAAAAAGGCAACGCAAATAAATAAATATATCATTTATTTATTTAAAGATTTGACACAAAAATAAAGTGTCAATTTATTTTTTTTTCGAAGAAAATTTAAAAAGAAGGTGGAGGTAGGTAATTCTCTTTAATGAGAGGAGATTAATTGTTTTAATTGGAGAGACGTTGAATGGAATTTTTAATTTAAATTTATTTTTTTGTTTTAATTATTTGTATTAAATTTGCGCGATTGAATTAAATAATTATTTTAAATTTTTTAAATAATTTTTTATTAATTAAATATTTTCTTTTTTGTTTCTTTCACCATCTTCAAGTTTTTAAATGAAAAATTCAGAACCTCAATAGAGCGCAAGAGCCAATTAAAAAACGTAAAATAACGCAAAACTTGCGCTCATTCAGAACAATAATTTCAGAATTTAATTTCAGAAAAAAAATTTCAGAAAAAAAGGAATAAAAAAATAAATTTCAGAATTTAATTTGTTATTCTGGTTTAAATAATTCGAAAATTCTGAAATTTTATTTCTTCTAAAAACATTAAAAATCAGAATTCTGGAAATAAAATTTTTGTTAAAAATAAAAATCAGAATTTTTAACTGATAAGTAGTTCTGAAATAATAAAATTAGAAATATAATTGTTAATAATAGGAACCAGAATTTTAATTCTGATTATTAAGAAAGGGAATTTTTATTTAAAACATTTCTTTTAAAAACCCTAAAATTAAAATTCTGATTTTTTTAAAAATGTTTTGATTTGCTGTTCATCTCTAACTAGACTATTTTAATGTTTTTATTTTTTAACAGAACAATTTTTTAATTTATTCTGATTTTTTCTACTTTTTCTCAAGATCAAAAAAAGCTAGAAAAATAAGGACATCATTCTTTTCCATCAAAAACAACACAAAATGAATTCTTCTTTAAATTCACTATTTTCCCCCAAATTTAAATTTTCTTCACTTCTCAGGATTATTTTTTGTTTATTTTTATTTAATCGGTCACAAGGTGATTTTTAATTTAAAAATTATTTTAAAAATTATTTCTTCTCTTAAAAAAGGTCAGCAACATTTAATGGCACCTTCAGGGCCTTCTTCTCTCCAAGTTAAAATAACCTCCCTTCCTTTACACGTTTCTTTGGCTCAACATTTGCCTCAAATGGTTTTTACTGTTGTTGGTAGATTTGCAAATGAAAGAATTTTTTGTGTTAGCGAATCGGTAAGAGGGTGGAAGATGTAGTAAGAGAATCTCTCTGTCTTATCCCAGAACTTTCCAATTTATACCAAACTCCTCTCTGACTTATCCCAGAAAGGTTCAGTACTGATCTAGTTATTTAACACGCCCTGTATTTCCAAATATCCCCCAAGTTTTGGGTTATCCAATATAGAGACGGGGTGGTATAAGATGGAGATTTCCTTGATTACTGAATGAAAATACAGTTAAAAAAATTAATTCCTTTCTTTTTTAGCCAGTTTCTCAATTACGTTTTATATGTGTTGATTGTGCACAGAGAAATATTACAGACATGTAAATTGACAAAATTTAAATGTCAAAAAATTAAAATTTTGTTTTTAAGGTTTGATTATCTAAATAGAGCACAGGATATGACACATGAAACTGGATTTCCGGTAATTTTTTCTGGCTTTTTCTGTCGTTTTTTTTGATTTTGGGGATTTCTTTGTGTCGGCACTTTGACGGTACCGTCAATTCTCTAATTGAGCGGGTATCTCTAGTTGAACGACCATCTCCAATAGAGCGGCCCTTTGAGAGGGTATTGCAAAATAGCGGCCGGCCGCTCAATTAGAGAAAATACGGTATTTTTGCTATTTAAACTGATCTTTTCATCGTCTCCTTGTTAACATTGTTGTAAGATCCTTGAAAAAATTTTTTCTTGATTTTTATTAATAAAATCCAGAAGATTTTTCAAAAAAATTTTAATTATTGGTTTGTTCTTTTTAATTGTTTTCCTTGTCTCTTTCTCGACTTCAAATTTTGTAATTATTCTAATAAATATACATAAAGGTCAGTCAAGGTCAACAATAATAAGTACTCCCTATTTTGTTTATATTTAGTCGCCAATAAAACCCCCCTTCCCCCAAAATCCTTTTTTTCCACTCCCTTTCCAAAGAAAATTTGATGTTAAAAGCTTGGATTCAAAAATGCAAAGAGGGAAAAAGATTTGGAAGTCGAAAGATTTTTATGTGAAAATTTCGTGTTAATAGTGCACGTTTTACAAACTTGAAGTTAAAAAGCAGTTTGTGCTCATTTAATGCAGATACTAGCGCCGGAAGTTCCGCTTCAGGTATCGGCCAACTTTGCGGTTAAGACGCAACACTAGCAGACACCCTTTTTCTATTTTTAACTTAGATTATATGTAATTTTCTGCAATTTGTTCCAAAAATAGTAAAATATAATTAGAACATGATAATGAACATTACTTGATGACCGCTCATTCCAATTTCAACATATTCTGTAGCAGGGAACGTGCCGGCATAAAGTTTAAATTCCCTATTTCTTAAATTTTAATGAGAAAAGATATTGGGATATTTAATTTTATATCTCCCCATTTCTTCAAAATTATTCTAAAAAATTACAGACAGTAACTCTGCCCAGTGTAGATGCCAATCCAGCGTGGACTGGCGCCAGTATAATGTGTCAAGCAGCTGTTAATGGAGGGACTAAAGATTCTCCCGTTTCGGTTATTGAAGTTCGTTATTTACGTAATGTGCATGTTGTTGATACAAGTGGACAGGGGCCTGTGCTGATTCCCAATCAGGTGTGGAATTCTAAAATTTTAATTTAGAAAATCCGCAAGTTTTGTCCGCAACTAATTTGCGGACTGTGAAAAATAACTTGCGGATATATTTTGCGAACGTTGACTAAACTAGCTAAATTTATCATTTAGGGCTTTCATTTCTATGTTGAATGTGTTAGAGGCCAAGACGGTCTTTGTCAACCCAGTGCAAGGCGTAAAACTCTTCGCTGTGCAGTCCAAGCTAATCCTCCAGCCAATAAATTTGGCTGGCTCAAAAATGGGCAGGTTATTAGTGGAAATGGACCTGAAATTACTATCGGTTTTTAAAATAAAAATAATTTAAAAAATTTTTATTTTTAATTGAAGGAACTGAAATGATTGGTCATTCCCTTCAATGTGCAGCAAACAACGGGCTTTATGCGGAGGAGAATCCACTAAAGTCTGAAGCTGTTTCGATTGACCCTTACACTGCTGCAAGGCTTTTACAAGACAATTTTCAGGTCTTAAAAAATTTTTGAAAAAATTCATTGAAAAATTCAAATTTTTAGCAAGCCCAATCCAGCACTCCTTTCCAGTCAGGCAATCGTGTTGAAATGGGTCAAAGCGTTCAACTAAACTGTCTTGTTGAAGGCAATCCGCGTCCTGTTGTATTTTGGAAGTTGAGACGTCCAAATGGAGCCGTTGTGGATGCTGCTTGCCCACAAGTGATTTTTTAAAATTTACTTGCATATACATAAACATTCTGTTCCAATCTTTATCTTATCTTAAGAATCTCTCAGTTACCCATCCCCACAAATTTAAATCTGAGACTTATCCCAACCTTTCTCTCTCTTGTATCTCAATTTTTGTCATTATCCCATCCTGAGACAGCTCAAATGGTTGGATAACTTAGAGATTTTTCTCTTTCAAATAAAAATATTTTCTAGGGATTAAACGGTCAATATCGAGAAACAGCAGCATTAGTCACTGGAGGCCCGCAAAACGGGGCTGTTGTTCCTCCTCCAATTCAACCAACAACAAATTTAATTCGTTTACAAGCCTCTTGTATACTTCATGTAGCTAATTATTCATTTTCTGGGCAGTATTGGTGCTCGGCTTGTTCTTATGTTTCTCAAGGATTTCCAGAATGTTCTCCAGGATTGGATACTCCTGGAGAAAGACTTTTAAATCTACAAGTGCAAGGGTAAAGGACTTGTTGAATTTTGGTATATTCGATAACCTTTTAAGAGCACCACAAATGTCAGAAGTAGAGCCTTCTGTTGAACAACCAGAATATAGAAGTAGTGCTATTGTATTAGTTCATTTTTGTGCTGAACCAAGTCCTCGGCCGCCTAGAGAGGTCGAGAATTTTTTTTAAAAAGATTTTTCCAAAAAAATTATTTTTCAGTTAGTCTTTACAATTGACGGGAATGATATTCAATTAGGTCAACAATTTCAACACTTTACTTTTGACAACGTTATTCAGAACAATACAGTTCCAAATTGTTTTGTTGCAAGATTAAGAATTGCCCCAGTTAGAGAAGACGATCAAGGAAGGCAAATTGTTCTTAGAGTACAAAACCAATTTGGGACAAAACAGTTGAGTGAAGAAAATTTGGGAATTTTTTAGAAAAAAGATGCTTCCTAGTCCTTTCAGAATAAATATCCATTTAGCCATTAATATGAGTATTTTCTCGATTATTACCCTCTCTCTAATTAATTACCTCTTCTCCCTTCAAATAGAGATTGAAACTAAAAACTAGCAGGGCCGAGAGTCACGGTGTTTAGTTTAGTCGTTTGACGTTAATTTTTGGCTGATTTTTGGCGTATTTTAATAATTTGAAAAATTGGCAGTTACTCTCGGCGTTAAAATTTAGGACCACGGCCATGATTACTGGAAATAAACAATGCACTAATTTTGCATTTTGTTAGATTCAAATAATTAGAATAATTATTTAAGAAAATACGATAAACTCAGAAAATTAAAATTGCTACGAAGCATTTTTCAAATAAACTAAAAATTAATAAAATAATTTTTTCAAAAATTCTTTTTAGTATTCCCGTCTCTCTTGGTGATTTATTAGGCGTTGACGCCTCTCAAATGGGAAGCTTTCCTGGATGGGCTGTTTGGCTAACAGTTGCCGCTTTAGGCATACTTTTTTCTTGTTCTGTTATTTATTGTATGAAGAAGAATTTGCTTTGTTTTTATAGTAAGTTGTTTTGAGATTAGAAGAAAATAGGAGAGGGATTAGGCAGATTTACTGCGATCCATGCTGCATTTTAAGAAAACGTAATGCGGAAGCAGTAGGGTCTAAAATAGCGGAATTGCGGAAGACGTAAAAATCTCCTGCAAGATTTATCGAATTATACCAAACCTGACTAATCTGACCTTCATAATCCAACGCCTCAATTTATCACCTAAGTTTTTTCTTATCAGAATTTGTATCGAATGAACAAGTATTTTTCCAAAAATTAAATTTATTTCTCAATTAGTCGTTCAGATCTGAAATTCTTAAAGAAGCTAGTTAACACTATTTTGTGAATATCCTTAAAAAATATTTTGAGTCAACTACCTTTCAAAATCTTTTATTACGCAATCCCCATTGACTGAACATCCCAAGCTCTATTAAAAATAGCTTTTTAGAGACTAAATTTTTATTCAAATTTTTTAAAAGGAATGAAAGACGGTCAGCAATATTCTACAGATAATTTAAAAGCCGGGTAATTAATTTAGAATTTTAATATAGAATAAAAGTTGCCCTTCATTTTTAGAGTACATGACTCTTATAATGATGAAAATGCAAACAGACAACTTTTTGGAGGAAGCAATGGCCATGAGGTAATGCGCCCACCGAGTGTGTCTTTGGCATCTGAGCCACCTCCAATGACGATTTACATGAGTCGGGAGGCCGTTGTTTGAGAGAGGGAAAAAACACACGAGAGAATTTGGTTTCTCCCTAACCTAAAAAAATCGGGGATGTGCCCGGGGCCTTTCGAATTTTGATTTTTTACCCCGTTAGAAAATTTTTAGGTACCTAACCTGAACTCTTTTTGGCACCCGGCACATCCCTTGGAATTTTTGGAGACCAGAACCAGAAGAATTTTTAGCGACCCCCCCCCTCGGAAGGGAATCCTCCACTCGGCACATCCCTGACATTAATTAAAAATAAAATAATTCAATTTATTTTTTAGAGTCCATATGAAGCAGCTGTTCATGTAGCCTTCTCAGAGTCCCGAATCTCTGCTGTCTAAATTAAAGAAGCATAATTCTCTTCTACTATTTTTTCCAACTGAAAAATACCAAAAATTGTGACATTGTTAAATTATTTTTTTGGTCTCATATTTAGGCACGCTAATATATTTATAATTTAATTATGTAAATGTTGGAAAGGGGTTTTGTTTTATTTAACAACTTGAATTTTCATTAAGATAATTTTTTGATTGAATTTCAATGAAAATAAAAGGCCCCTTTCAACATTAATTTATTTATTTTGTTCATACTTTTTCAACTACAAAAAACCTTTTTAAGCAATTCTTTGTTAATTTTGTAGTTCAATTTTATTTTAAATTTTATTTAATGCTATTTATTTTTTATATACACAAGTGTAGGGTTGTCGGTTCCAAGCAGAACAAAAATCTTCGGTTGATATCCAAAGATTTTGCAATAATCGACAACTCTATACACAAGAATCGGGTTTCCGGCCAGTCACCTATTTTTTAAAAGATTGCCTTCTTTCGCTCACTTTTCGTTTCACCAGTCTGGGAGTGTGCTCCTAACGACTGGTGCCAGAGCTATGAGAAATCGAAAAAGTTTAGCTACGAAGTTTCCAGAATATTAGCTCTGCCAAAGCCTGCTCCGGACCATAGCCAGACGGCACCGTTCCCTACCCATTATAACCAACTCCCTCAACTTCAAAAATAGCTTGCTGATACTGGGAAATTCGGATCCCTCAAACCTATGCAAAAGAATTTTGCCATCTACATTTAATCATTAATTTTTCCGTAAAGTGCATAATTTATATAGATTGCATCACTTTCCTATTTTTTTTTCATTATTTACCATTAAATTGCCATTTATCAGAATAAAAATAAGCATAAAAGCAGGACAACAAGTTTTTCTCTAAAATAGGCATCACCAAAAACAAATATTTTATGATAAAGCAAGATCGTAAATACGGCAAACAAGCATGGAGTGTGTAAAGAAAAAAAGGTCAAATTATATAAAGTTGCTTTTTTTAAATATTTTTGTTATGCGTCTTTTATTTCCCTTTATTTCTTTTAATATTCATCGGCATCTTCTCCACCAGCCGAATCCATGCCAACTTCTTCATAGTCCTTTTCCAATGCCGCAAGATCTTCACGAGCTTCAGAAAACTCTCCTTCTTCCATTCCTTCACCAACATACCAATGAACGAATGCACGTTTTGCGTACATCAAATCAAATTTGTGGTCGAGACGAGCCCAAGCCTCAGCAATGGCTGTAGTGTTGGAGAGCATACAGACAGCGCGAGGAACTTTGGCAAGGTCACCGCCAGGCACAACAGTTGGTGGTTGATAGTTGATACCGACCTGAAAAGAAAAACATTAAAATGTATAAACATAAAGTTCATCCACAACCCAAAAAGACCCAAGTTCATTTACTGAAACAAAAGTTTACCTTAAAACCTGTCGGACACCAGTCCACAAACTGAATTGAACGGTTAGTCTTGATGGTAGCAATTGCTTGATTGACATCCTTTGGAACGACGTCCCCTATAATAAGCAATGATTGTCAAGCAAAAAATTAATACAAAAAAAACCTCGGAAAAGCAAACAAACAGCCATATACTTTCCATGTCGAGGATCACACTTGACCATTTGATTCGACGGCTCAAAACACATTTGAGTAATCTCGCTAACAGACAAAGACTCATGATATGCCTTCTCTGCAGAAATTACAGGCGCATAAGTAGCGAGTGGAAAGTGGATGCGTGGATACGGGACAAGATTGGTCTAAAAAGAAAAATTGTTTGAAGATTAGAGATCAAAATAGGAAGAAAACCTGGAATTCAGTGAGATCAACGTTCAACGCGCCATCAAAACGGAGAGAAGCCGTGATGGAAGAGACCACCTAAAATTCAAAAATAGACTTCAAAACAACAAGAAAATGAACCTGCGAGATGAGACGGTTAAGATTGGTGTAAGAAGGTCGCTCAACATCCAACTTGCGACGACAGATGTCATAAATAGCCTAGAAAAGAAAATAAGATTATCAATTAACAATCATCTAATTAACCTCATTATCAACCATAAACGCACAGTCAGAATGCTCCAGCGTCGTATGAGTTGTAAGAACAGAATTATATGGCTCAACAACAGCTGTGGAGACTTGCGGCGCCGGATAGATAGAAAACTCCAACTTGGACTTCTTTCCATAATCAACCGAAAGACGCTCCATAAGAAGAGATGTGAAGCCAGAACCAGTGCCACCACCAAAAGAGTGGAAAATCAAAAAGCCTTGAAGTCCTTGGCAGTTGTCGGCAATACGACGAATGCGGTCCAAAACTGGGTCGATAATTTCCTTTCCAACAGTGTAGTGTCCGCGAGCATAGTTATTGGCTGCATCCTCTTTCCCAGTGATCAACTGCTCTGGATGGAAGAGCTGCTTGTATGTCCCAGTACGAATCTCATCTTCAAAAGGGGGAAATTAGTTTAATGATTAAAGATTCAAAAAAACCTATAACAGTCGGCTCCAAATCCACCATCACTGCACGAGGAACGTGCCGTCCATTTCCAGTCTCAGAGAAGAAAGTCGAAAACGAATCATCCTGCGCCGATTGTTCAGAAGGCATACGACCATCTGGCTGAATTCCATGCTCTAAGCAATAAAGCTCCCAACAAGCATTTCCAATTTGAACTCCAGCTTGGCCAACATGAATGGAAATAACTTCGCGCTATAAATAGAATGAATTAAAAAAGGAAAGTAACCCCCTTCACCCTCCCTTGGTCAGGAAAGATGGCTTTCCAACTAAAAACTGGCTCAATGCCTAATAGGCCACAGCTAAATCCAAAAGGGGATGAGTCATCAACCCTACCCAAAACTAATTAAAACGAACCATGTTAAGAACAGGTCAAGATAGTTGTTGTGAAAAACGAACGATTTTAGAATAATTGTAAGCTTAAATGAGTAAAAATTAAAAAAAGAAATACAAAAACAGGTAAAATGCTTAGAAATTGCGCAACAGAGTATTTAGACTCCTTCTAGTTTGCAATCCTAAAAATGTCATATTTTTTGAGCGGGCAAGCTATAAATTGATTTTTTTGAATTTTGTTTTTGTCCACTCCCCCTACTGCACACAAAACGCTCGCTGTGTAATTGCCTCACTGTGCAGTGGTATTTTTATTTTGGACTTGTGTTCTGTTTAAATATATATACTCAGGAAAATAGACAAAGCACCTAATAGCACAAAAACAAAAATTCTTCGCGAAGGAATTAAGAATGTTAAATGGTAAAAAATTAAAAACGTCCAATTTAAGTGGAAATGTCAAAATGTCGAAATTTGGAATATCTAATTTTCAAAAAGTAAATTGACTTTTGGGTAAGAGACTGTTGGGTCTATTGTGTAAATTAACTCAAAACACCCATTTAGGCAAAAAACAATTATTACGTCACAGTGCAATCCTTATCTTTCATTTCCTATCTTTTCTTTGTTCCATATTGATTTGAATTTAATTCATTTCAAATTTTCATTTACATATGTTTTTTTTCAGAATTTCACAAATTCTTCTAACGGGTACAACTAAAAGCTCATAACAATTTTCTAGTCTTTAAACATCGACTTTATCATGAAAGTGCCATTAGAACCTCGGATGTCTGTTCAACGTGACGCTGTTCTTGACTTACTTAAACAGGTATTTAAAAATTAGAAAGGGTTTAAATCTGGAATTGGGGTTTTATTGGGGTTGTAACTTCTCTCTAAACGTCCAAAAATTCCTGGCTTTTTTAAGACTTGGCTTTCGATTTGACTCCGATAGCAAAATAGATAAACGAGGTATTAGACCATCATTACCCTCTAACAAACTTCTGGTCCCCTCCTGTAATCATTTTTAGGCCATTCCTCTATATCCGACCGTTTTCCCCCGACCTCATCGTTCCCCGAAATGCTCTTCCCGAAATGCTCTCCCCAACCAACCCTTTGACAAAATTGGGGTCCCCTGCCTACGATGGGTTTTAAATTGTCGGGAGAGGATCATCTCCAACCGTTCTTTCCCCAACATTTTTCCCCCCGTAATGTTCTCACCCGACCTATTCGGGACCAACTCTAAACAAAATTCTATGAACCTTTATTTCAGCTGGCATCTGATAATGAAGATTATTTTAAACAAATTCACAACCCTTCTATTTATAATAGACGAATTCTAGAAAGTTGTAAAGAATTGTGTTCTTCTATTGACCTCATTCGCGGTACCTTTAATTAATTAAATTAATATTTTTTTATTTTTTAAAGAAATAATTTGTCAGCTCCAAGTTGCTTCGCAAAATTATGACTACGATGAAAATACTCCTGGAAATGGATTTCGGTTTTTTTATTTCAAGAAAAATTTTTTTTGATTTTATTTTTTAAGTTCTCTTATTTGTATTAGTGACATTGTTCTTTTACATTTAATTTCGGTACTTCGAATCTGCTCAGACAATCGGACTACAATTATGTTTCGTTTATCGCATTGTTGCAAGGAAATTGAGGCCTATGTGGCTATTATTCGCTTTCTTATTTTGGCATATCAACAGGTAAAGGTTTTGGTCATTGCTCCAAATATTCATGAATTGTTTTGTTTATTCGTCTTAAATTTCTTTTATGGAGAGGGGTTTAATTAAAATTATTGACTGCAAAAAGATTATCCTTCCTTAGTAGTGTGTCTATAAAACGTATTTTCCAACGGGATCACTCTTAAACTCCAGAACCAATTTTCCATTTACCCCTTATTTTTGCTAATTCCGGTTTTTCAAAGGTTGTCTCTTTATTGGACGTCTTGGATAACAATAGCTTGTTTCCACCGCTTAATAGTGACTATCAACAATATAATATAATGTTCCGTGGAATTGAAAACCTCGATGCTTCTTGCTTTTATGGACGTTCTCTTGGATTTCAAGTTAATTTTTTTTCTTTTTCAATTTTTATTTACTTACATATTTTCAGTTCTCACCTTCTATCACTCGAATTTTTCGAGTTATTGGATTGATTTTGGCCACTTATAGTCTTTCATGGGAAAGCACTGTGGCTCTAAGCTCTTTAATTAGGGACGGCCGGATGCTTTTGAATCCGGAACAGCGTGCAAAACACATTATTAAGGTTATTTTGCTGGTTTTTTTCATTAAGAATTATTTTAAGGTGACCCGAGAAGCAAGCATAGGATTTTGTCGTGGTTTTTGGAATCTTTCAGAATTGACAATGCCTAGTTTATATTGTCCTGTTATGGCAACTTGTGAGAAGACTGAAATTAAATTAGCTGGTACTCTTTCGCTAGAATCGGTTAATGGAGGTTTTGTTCAAATTCATGAGCCATCTTCGCATACTGGACCTCGACCTATTGCTTTGCGTGTTCTTTCTTTTCAACAACGTTTTGGATTGGTATTTTATTTTAGCTTATAGAATACTTTATATTACTGCTGATCTCCTAAACAAAACTTTACCTCCGTTTTTGAACACTATAGCTTGTCCCTCTCAAAAACTTCTAAGTTGAAGGTTTCACACAACATAAGGAATGGGTACACCCCAAGGTACCGCCGCCCAAGGTACCGCAGGCTCAATGTACTCTTTAAAACACTTAAGAGAGTAAACTCACAACTTATTATATTCTTTTCTTTTAAGAATTCAAGCAGTTCTCGAAATTTGACTCTTTCGCCTTATTTGGTTATTCATTGTCATGGTGGTGGTTATGTTGCTACTTCATCTAAATCACATGAGGTTTTATTTTAAAAATTTTCTTTAAAATAAAATTTATTTTTAGACTTATCTTCGATATTGGGCCAAATCTTTGGAATGCCCACTTATTTCTATTGACTACTCGTTGGCACCTGAAAATCCCTTTCCTCGCCCAACAGAGGAGGTTCTTTATGCTTATGCTTGGATTCTTATAAATCACGAGAAATTTGGTTTTTTTATTTTTTGCTAAAATTTTCTCATTTTTTCTTAAAGGTTGGACTGGTGAAAAAGTTTGTCTTGTTGGCGATTCTGCTGGAGGAAATTTGATTGTGTCTGTTTCATTGAAGCTTGTCGAATTGGGTGTTAAAAGACTTCCTGACGGACTTGTTCCCATCTATACTCCTTTTTTGTTTCAGGTTTTTAATTTATTAACACAGTCTTTGTTCAAAAATATTTTTCAGTATTTGCCGTCCCCTTCTCGTGTTCTTAGCTTTATGGACCCTCTTTTGCATATGGGTGTAGTAATTCGTTGTGCAGCAGGTTTTTTTAAATTTATTTTCTAACAATAAGTTTTTATATTTTTTCAGCTTACTCTGGTACTTATACTGATGAGGAGTTGGATAAGGACGCTTCTTTTAAAGAGAGTCCGAATGTTCCAGCAAATAATGGACATAGATCGTTGCAGGATTATGTTGACCAGGTGCAGCGAGCGCAGAATGAAAGTCTCTTGGATTTCACGGTTATTTTTTAATTATTTTTTGACTCAAATTTATGGTTGTTGAATGAGAACATATTTTGGTAGTTATTGTTATAATTTTCATCTGTCAGTAGGCTTGACTTATTACATGAGATATTTTTTTGTAGAAACAAATAACTTAGAACTGGCAAGCACATGTCTTTTATTTTTTGGACAAAAGAATGTGCTCGCCAGTCTTTTGTGTTTATATTTATTTTTTATTTTCAGCAAGGCTCGCAATCTATTGTTTCATTAATCAATTTGTCGTTATTCAACAAATCTGTCCCTGAGCAACCTAATTTTGATTCTCCACCCAAAGAAGACGATAAACGATTAGACAAAACTGTGGGATTTGTAATGCCAACAGAAAATGTTGGAGGAGGAGGAGAGTCTCAAGATGAAGGGGATAACAGGCCAAATGCTGAAGATGATGAAGAAGATTCTGCAATGCAATCGGTTAGAGTAGATGCTGATCCGGCACATATTTTTCTTTCGACAACAAATTTTGACCAATGCTTGATTGACTATTTACAAATACATCCAATTACTAAAAGGTTGCATTTTTGATTTAATTTTTAGAATATTTTTCGGCTTTACTAAAAAGTTACCAATATTTTGGGGTATATCCTTTTCTGCCTTACTAAAGGCTCTTAATCTTTATATCCTGGTTTTAGCTGGGATGAGGATTGTAATGTTGCTTTTAACTTGGAGAGTTTTTAACATAACGCATTACTTTTTTAACATAACTTTTTTAACATAATTTTAACATAACGCATAACTTGGAGAGTTTTTAACATAACGCATTCTGATATATAACATAGCAAAAGGGATAGGTTCGATATCTTGCTGGCACCTGAATTGTGTTCTTCTGTTCTCTTTATTTTTCTTGTATAAATTTATTTTCAATTTTTTCAGTTCAATAAATACTTTTACTGATCAAGCATCTACTGACTCAAAAGTATTTGGTGATGAATCAGAAGAAACTGAGGTTTTTACTGCAGCTGAACGTTCCAATGATAAATTGCTGACCCCAACATCAATTCTTGCTCCAGATATTACTCAACAACAATCAACTCCGTCGAGTACAGCGTCAAGCACTTCTTTCTTTCGAAATATTTTACATTCTAATACAAGCAATAAAGATGACAGTCAAGGACGTTTGAGTTATTTTAGTCCTGGTTCAAGCTTAGGATGTACTCCATTGCATAGCAAGAAGCGACTTTCAGTTAGTTTTAATTTTCTTGTTACGATTTTTTGTGGTTTATATCAGGGTTCAGTCGGGTGGGAAGAATATTAATATCGAGTTACCCGCCCATTTACTTGACAAACCTCGGCTATAGGTTTCCGTGGGGGTTGGAATTCTTGAATTTGTTAATTTTATTATTCAGAGAAACAAATCCCGTTCACTCAGTCAAAGTCTAGCAGACACCGCTGCCCTTGCTGCAGGGCATGCAACCGACAAAATAACTGAATGGCTTGATACACCAATGGAACCATTAGGAAGCGTTGACAAAAAGAAGCTTACACGTGCTGCAACAATGTCTCCAATGAGTGCAGCGAAAGTCCAACAAAAAGTAAAAATTTTTTATTGAAATTAAAATATTTATTTTTTAATTCTTAGGAAGCAGTCCATCATCATTCTCATTTTACTGAATTGTTAAAACTTAAACTTCCACGTGAACATTTAATGTCGCCTATGTATACACCAGCTGAAACTCTTGCTAAATTACCTCCAATCCGTTTTGTGGTGAATTTTTTTTATAAAAAGATAAGCGTGAAAAAATTCTGTTAAAGGCTTGCCATCTTGACCCATTACTTGACGATACTATAATGTTTGCAAAAAAGGTCCGAGACTCTGGAGGGAAGGTACATAGCGTAGATTTGCTTGATTCTTTGCCTCATGGATTTCTCAATTTTTCGCCAATGTCCTCTGACTGTCAAAATGGAGCAAATATTTGTTTGGAACGAATTAAACAAACTCTTGGGATGCCTTAAAGATTGAAAGACTTTAAATTTAATTTTTTGACTAATTTTAATATATTTGAGGCCAATTTATGTGTTTATTATACAGTCGAATCTCACTTTTACGTCACTCTCACTTTAACTCAGATTTTTTCTGTCCGAAACGGAACGTTCAGTTGAGGTTCGACTACATGTATTCGCAATTGTATTTATCTCTTCATTTTTTTATTCTCATAATGACTTGCTCAATATTAGACTCACACCTCTTTTTATTATTTTTAGATATTTTATATATCTTCTATTTAAATGACCCACAGGTATATAAAAACTATAAGGACCCTTCTTAATTACAGTTTAGGGCAATATACATTAATTAAACCTGTTCAACACCCTTAGAATTTCTTTGCATCTTGGCCCCAGCTGTTTTAAAAATTGTAAAAAATTTTTGGATTTGACAGTTCCAAGATACAAAAAGTTCCCTTTATTTTTGTATGCAATTTGTGCCTTCTAAACACCCTATCCATTAAAAATATTATCTTTTTATGTTAAAATTGTGTATATTTATGTTTATTAAGGGGTAGTTTTGACGGATTATAAAAAAAGTTTTTCCCTTTATACAGTAAGGTGCAAAAGTTTATGCGGCGGCACATTGCAGGCAGGGAAATCGATATATCCCAGGAAGAAAAGGGACCTAAATTAAATCAATTATATGTTAATTAAGAGTAGGTATTGTTTTACTAAAATTTATAAAAAAAATTTCCAATATACATTTTATTCAAAAAAAATAAGCATAAACACCTAACTACCTCAAAATTTGGTGGAGCAAAAGTTTATGCGTTTTATAGGAAAAAAAATTTTTTGGTTCTAAAACAAGTCGAAAAAAATTTAAAAATTTTTTATAGGCATTTTCATTGATACTGAATGGAAAAACAAAAAGAATGAGTTCGATAAATAATTTTTTCATCAAGATCCAAAATCTTAAAAATCAACGTAAAATCGGGGTACAGTGATTGAAAAAATATTTTCGAACCCTTATTGTTATTTTTAAATTCTTGTTTTAGGCTCATTTGAAAGCCCATAAAATTTACTACAAAATAAGGTCGGTCTCCTATACTTGAAAAATTTCAACTCGGAGGTAGGGTGGCATGAATTACCGAAGAAATAAAAATGAGCATTTTATAGGGTATTTCGGGTGATTTTGACAACCTTGTGAATTCATGCGACCCTATCTCGAAGATGAAATTTTTCACACATATGAGACCAAGTGTATTTTGTAGCAAATTTTATGGGCTTTCTAATGAGCCCAAAAAGAATTTTTGATACAGGCCCTAGGGAGCTAAAATATTTTTCGAAGTAGTGTAACCTCATTTCCCGTTGATTTTTGAGATTTGAGATCTCAATGTATAAAGCGAGTAAAGACTTCGTTTTTGCCCTTTCTCCATTCAATATCAATGAAAATGTTTATAAAATTTTTTGTAATTTTTTTCGTTTTGTTTTAGAATCAAAAAAAAATTTTTTTATATGCCGCATAAACTTTTGCTCCCCCAAAATGGGAGGTAAATATGTTATTACGTGAATAAATTTTGAATGACATGAGTATTAAACATTTTTTTAATGGATATTATAAACAGATAACCTATACTTAATTAAAATATAATCGATTTAATTTAGGTCCCTTTTCCTCCAGAGATATATCGATTTATCTGCCTGCAATGTGCCGCCGCATAAACTTTTGCACCTTACTGTATGTTAATGGCTATAATTTGCTTTACAAAAAAAAGTTAATCTAATGCAGGGCTCTCATCGACAAAATACCAATCAAGAGTACAAAAATCTCGATTTTAAAGTACATAGGGACAAAATTTCCAAATTTAAAGGACACTCAAAATTAAATTACAAAATATTTATTCGCCCTCAAATCTTTTATACTATTTCTCTGCTAAATGAATTTTTCTAATAATCTCTTGTTTCCACTGAGCATTTTGTGCATTTCATACACGCCATGTCAAAATTCGCTGTCACATTAAGTAAAGCCCTGACAGTCTTAACCTCAAGCAAGCTACTTTCTTACGTCCATTTTCAACGCCGCAGGCGAAAATTTTGGGAAATTTCGGGGTTCTTAAGACAGATTTTTTCCATTTTTAGCGCCGCAGACGAAAATTTTTTAAATTTGGCACCCAAGAAGCCAAATTTCTTACTTTTCAGCGCCGAAGGCGAAAATTTTGAGAATTTTGGTGTTCCTTAAGCCAGATTTCTTCCTTTTTCAGCGCCGCAGGCGAAAATTTTTTGAAATTTAGACCCAAGAAGCTAGATTTCTTCCTTTTTCAGCGCCGCAGGCGAAAATTTTGAGAATTTCTAAGGCCGTAGGCCTTAGAAATTCACTTTTTTGCCCAATCCTTCCCTAATTTCATTTTCAATCCAAAATGTTGATTTTAAAGTACATACTTTCAATAAAGTACAAATTTAATTTTGTAAGTACGGAGGTCGATTTTAAAGTACTGTACTTTCAAATAAAGTACGAATGAGAGCCCTGATCTAATGGCTTATGCTTTATTATTATTAAGGGGATTAATATTTTTAGTGCCTCGAGATAATGTTTAATGTAAACATTACACAAAATAAAAAAATATTTTTTCCTAAAAATGATTTCCTTCCATTTCTAATTAAAATTTAAAAAAATGTTTCTTGCTGACAGAAGGAATGATTCATTGTTTTATTCTAAAAGAGAAATTCCAACAGTTTTGTATTGGGAAGGGAGAGGCAAGTAAAAGATATAAGGAATAAAAGAAAATGTAAGAAAATTTTAGTTGATATTGGATTAAAATTAGGAAATTCGATACAACATCAACAGTCACAAATCCAATTGTTGCATCACTACCCGGTTTATGTTTGTTAATTTTCAATTAGAGTGTAGGGTATATCCGTCCTCATAAGAACATAAAAAGAAATTTTTGAAAAATTGTTGACTGAGTTTTTCGGAAAGTTGTGAACGTTGTAATAAAACGTTGACTTGAATAAAAACTTTGATTTTTGTGAAGTATCCATCTAACAAATAAGAGAAAAAGCTGATACTTCAATTGACCATGATTGTTGACAGTGTTTGGTAATTTAAAATTTGCTCGTACTCGTACTTGTATAATTTTTCTCGATACGAATACGGATTTTTGTACGAGCTTCCAAAACACTGATTATTGGGAAGAAAATTTTAATTTTTATTAAAAATTGAATTTCTAAGAATTACTTGGAGCCGACAACTTCAACTCCACCAAGTCAGATAGCTTAACTAATATATTTTTGAAAATTATAATATTTAGAATTTGTAGAACCATCCAATCTTCTAAAACAATTTTTGGCACTACCAACATTACAAAGTGACGGAAAATTTTTAAAAATAAAATTTAAGGAATTTCACTTACTTTTTATTTTTAACTTTCACGTCTTTAAGGTATAAAATAAACAAAATTAAGGCAATGGACAAACTCAACTATGGCAATTTCTTTTAGAATTGCTCATGTCAAGAGAAAACTCTTCTTGTATTGAGTGGCATGGAAAACATGGTTTTAATAACCTCCCCTCTTTTAAAAAATTCCAATTTTAGGCGAATTTAAATTAATGGACCCAGATGAAGTTGCAAAAAGATGGGGACAACGAAAAGGGTTTGACAAGAAAAATTTATAAAAAATAAAAAATTTTTTCTCAAAGCAAGCCTAACATGAACTATGACAAATTGTCTCGTGCCCTTCGCTACTATTACGACAAGAAAATAATGTCTAAAGTGCAGGGAAAGCGATATGTCTATAAATTTGATTTTGAGGAATTAATTAAATTTTGTGAGGCAACAACTTTAAATCAAAGTAGCAGAACACTTTGAATAGACAAAGAAATTATTTTAATTAATTAATAGATTAATAAAAAAAATATTTAAATTATAATTCCATTTTTATATTAGTTACAAAAATATGTAGATAATTTTTTTGAAGAGATGTAGGTTTTTTGTTTGATCTAAAAAGTCCAAAAATTCATAAAACTTAAATAAATTACATATTTAATTTTATATTAAAAAGAAAAATCTAATCGTAATTTTTAAAAGATAATATAAAGTATTGAAAAATGACAAGCATTTTGTTCAATCACAAATAAATAAAAACAGGAAAGTTGACAAGTGATAATTCAAAATCAAGCAAGAATGATAAAATAACCGGGATAATCTCTATATAATAAACGATAATTTTGGAAAAGACGAGAATATTATGCAACAATTTAAAAATAACAAATTAATAAAGTGTAAATTAAAATATGAAACCTACATAATACTTAATATCAAATATTGTTAGATTGGTAGCCCTACTAAACTATGCTTGTGGCGAAGTGAATATCGTCTAAATATCCAATATTCCAATGCACCCAAAATAAGTGGGGTTGAGAAAATCACATTTGCCATACAAGAACGTAATTCCAACTAAAAATGAAATGTTATGAAAAAATTAAGGATTTATAAGTATAACAAGAGATAATTGTTTACTGTGTCTAAATTTCTTTATATTTTGGTAGCATTCCCTATAAGACCCCCTAACTACATATTTTGGAGTGATGTCCGTTTTCTTGAAAATAATTTGGGCCGAATTATGACCACCAGTCAAAGTATCAAAGTCTTTGGGAGTTTTTAAATATACGGGGAGGGGAAAACGAGCTCCTTTTTTTCACACTCTCTGGTCCTTTCCCTCAACACCTTTTGTAAATAACAAAGTCCTAATCCAGTAATGTTTACAAATAATTATAAATTTAGTCTCTTCATTACCGATCGTATTTGCTCTTTTTGGTAAAGTGCATATCCATTTCGATTCAACAAAAATACAATAATGACGGGAGCAATCGAAATAGCTGGTTTAACAATTAGAGCATTTAAACTGAATATTAAGGATGAAATTGGATTCCTTTAAACAGAAAATAAAATTATTTTTGTGTTAAATTTGATAAACAAACTTTCTTGAATATCTAATTTTGTCTTCTTCAATAACCTCTGAAAGTAAAATGTTGAAAAGAGGGGATGTTGAATGAACAGTTATGCTAAAAATAAAAGAGATTTTTGCTTATTATTTTTGCTTATTTTTATTTAAAATCTTAATTTTCTTGACTAATTAAAATTTGGTAGAATAACAATAAATATTGTCGAAATTTCAGGAACGTTATTTAGGACTAACCTACTAGAGACCGAGCTAGGTCTGGACCAAGGCATGGGTTTTTCCTGTACCCAGAGTCCAACCCCTGGGTTTTTCCTGGACTACAGGCCGGTGATCCGGCCCAGGTCAATAAATCAAAACCAGGAACAGGCCCAGACTTTTCAAAAACCTCGATCTCTAGAACATATCATTGATCAGAAAAATTAAACTAACACTACATCAATTTTTATCTAACAGAAAAAAAAGTTAGATTGGACAATAAAAGATTACCTAGTTAAAATTGTAAGAGAAAAAATAAACCTGTCAACGAGCATAAACAATAACACAGCATATGGATTACTTGAGAATATATACAAAATGGTTGAACAAATTGAAGCAATTATTCCGTAATAATATACAAGATATGCACCGCTTCTAAGAAGTAATTTGTCGTTTAAAATTACTAAAACCTGTAAATTGAAGAGAATTATTCTAGAGGGCGAGCTGGATCTGGATCCAGACGTTGATTTTTCCTGGATCCAGAGTCAAGATCAAGGCATTTTTCAGCGTTCCTTGATTTTTCCTTGACTCAAGGTCAAGAATCTGGTCAAGATCCTTACTTGAAATCAAAGTCAAGGATCCAGGTTTTTTGAAAATCCCATTCTCTAAATTATTCTATAAAAGGTCAACAAAAAAACCTCAACCAAATATTTGAAGTTATTTAATCTGAATTTATACCTGTGGAACTAAAGTACATACAGCAAAAAACGCACTTAATTGTAGAGAACCTTTCGGAAGTATACTTTGTGGTATAAGAATATCTGTGGCAATTGAGGCGAAATTCATATGTGCAGTTGTCCTGAGATTTTATAAAACCAAATATAAAAAATTCTAACTCAACCTGCATGTGTGTACAAAATTTGTAAATATTACATACTGGAAGTCTTTTGAGGACAAAACTTGCTTTAAAATTAATGTTTAAATTTTTGAAAAAAATTTAAAAATCAAACCATTGTAAGCCCATAAATCCTTTTCCAACTCCATTCATTTAATTTACTTTCATCCTCCTCCAGCTCGTCCTTCTCCACGAGATTTTCATTGGCATCTGTTTTATTATTTTGTTGAGTATTTGCCAACCATCCAGTCAGGAATAGACAACAAAGTGAAATAGTTGCCAGAGTAACACAAACATATTGGAATATTTCAAATTTCTAAAAAAACCAAATTAACTTGGATTTGAAATTACGAGGCAGGACCAAATTTTACGGGGAACGGGGGTTGCGAGGAATTCGTGCTACTTTTAACAACCCAATAAATGTGGAAAGATAACAAGGAGAAACCCAGTCAGGAATAGACAACAAAGTTCCTCAGTGACTCGGTTACTCCTCGGAAACCGAGTCAATGAAGAACCATAACAATTTCGGATTGACACTCAAGAATGGTTATGTCGTTATATTAAATTAATAAAAAAATACTTCAAGACTGCCTGAAACTTTTTCTGTAATCGTAATCACATTGACTGAACAAAGAGACGCAAGTTGAGCGAATTTTATGCCTTTAACCCGTTTTCTGTGATCTCTAGTGGTATCTGAATACAATGCAGACCAAGCTACACCTATACAGCTAAAAATCATCAAGAAAATTATTTATACAGAGAAATCTCGTTAATAGATACACAGAAGTTCGGTGAGGTAAGTATAAAAACAATTGATAGGGCCAGAAATACTCCTCAAAAACCGAGTCATGAATGGATGAGGATATCTCAATAACGGGATTCCAACCGATTTCTGGTTAGTAAACATGAAAAAACTAAAAAAAAACCTGAAAAAAGCATCGTAGAAAAACAGCGAAACAATCAAATGTAGCCCTTCCACATACGGAGGGGAATCTTTATTCCCCCAAGGAAACCAGGTAATCAAGAAAGAGATGACAAAAAAAGGTCCAAAATAAGTAAAAATCCTTGCCCTACTCTGCATCCATGTTCCCCCTACATCCTGGGAATTTAAATTTAAAAATAATTCTGAGTAAATTCCTACTTGTAAATAGCCAAATAAGGGATCATTAATTGCATTCCAAATCAGAAAAAGAAGCTGTGCCAAATTAAACCAGTATTCATTAACTTGAAATATGTTGAGGAAAACCTAAAGAATATATGTGGAGAAAGAATATAAAATAACCTTGACATAATAAAAATTAAAAGCTGTATGTAATAGACCAAGACCAAAATTCCCAAGAAATATGGCGAGAACATAAGAACTGTTCCGTTGAAACATCTAAACAGAAACACAACAATAGTTAAAGAATCCAACAATTTATTGTGGCATTGTAAGACAAAAATACATAATTTTGTGCTGTGCGCCATGCCGTTTGCGTTTTGGCGTTATTTTTGGCCTTTTGGCGTTCGCGTGTTTTAAAAATTTGAAAAATTGGCGTTTGACGAACACGCGAAAATTTTGGAAAAAAACAAAAATGCCCAAGTTTCTCTCACAGCATTCATTATTTTCCGAGTTTATGCGAAAAGAATGGATATGCTTTTAAAGATTTTGTACTTTATAATCCTGAATTTCTTTCGTATTCAAAATTCACCTTTGTAATGCCGTTCATCAAAACAAAATTGCTTTTATAAATTCAAATACCTGTCAATCACCTACTTATTTCTTCATTAACTTTCCCCTTTTTTACCTTATTCCCCTCCATATAAATATAAACTAAACTTGTTTCACTCATTCTAACCCTTCACTCTTTCCTCATATTGACCACTAAGGTGGGCCATCCTTCTGACCTTATTGCTTGTTTATATTTAATTTAATATCTTAATAATTATTACCTATGTTTAGGGTTATCGGTTCATTAAAAATCTTCGGATATCCGGAACCGAACCGATATCCGAACCGAAAAATCATCGGTTCTCCGGTTCGGTCCAGAACCGACAACCCTACCTATGTTAATTAACCAAGAAATATTTTAATTTTTCCAGACAACTTTCTTCATTATGAGGAAATTAAGACCAACTTTTAATAATTTTTCTGTAAAAAAATTAGAGTTAAGAGGGCCTGTTATTGGAATTAATTTTGGTTTTACAAATTCGTCTGTTGCAATTTTAGAGGAAAGAAAAGCAAAGGTTCTCAAAAATGATGAAGGTTCTTTTACTACTCCCTCTGTTGTTTCTTTTACAAAAAATGGTGGAGGGGAAGAATGTTTGGTTGGGGCTCCAGCACTTAGACAGGCTGTTTTGAATAGTCAAAATACTGTTTTTAATATTAAACGATTAATTGGAAGGAAATTTGATGATAAAGAGGTGCAGGATTTTATGTAAGTTGATTTTTGGTTTTTTTGGTTCCCCAATATTGAAATTAAAAGTCCTTTAAATAGCTTCCCTCAATTATGGCTTTTTTTAGTTCAGTTGCCTTCAAAACAAGATACACCCTTGGGGTTGAAAAAACAACCTGGTTCCGAACCAGGGATTTCACTAGTTAGTTACCCAAGGCCAAGGCATTTTTCGATCTGAAACACGATCCGAGAGGAATTTAAAAATTCGACCTGCAATTTTTCTCAACTCATGTACATATATTCTATGTAGTTTAGTCCGATTAATGAGTTGTACTTTTTAAATTTAATTTTTATATTTAAAGTAAAGAATTTCCAAACAAAATATTAAAATCTTCAAATGGCGACAATGTTTTGATTGAAATCCAAGGAAAGCTTTATTCCCCTCAACAAATAACTTCTTTTATTTTAATTAAATTAAAAGAAATGACAGAAAATTATTTAAATAAAAAAGTTGGGGATGCAATAATTACTGTTCCAAATTATTTTGATTATTCACAAAAACAAGCATTGAAACAAGCTGGAAAACTTGCTAACTTAAGAATTTTACGTTTTGTTCCTGATTCTATTGCTGCAGTGTTTGGTTATAGATTATATTGTTTTTGGAGAGGGGCAAATAAAATGTTAAGTTTTTATGTTAGATTTATATTAAGAAATAGGGCTTTTCTCAAGACTTTTCTTCTCTTTCCGCTATTTTAGATACTGTAAGTATCCCTCCTAGCCCCCAAATCTACATATCTTACTCCTAAATCTCTCAATATCTACCACAATATCCCCCTTGATCGCTTAAGATTTACTTATATTCCTCGATATCCACCGATATCCAACTTGATCGCTCTATGTCACATACAAGTCCCCTAATATTTACTTTAAGCCTTCTAAATCCCTGGATATCCCTCTTAAACCACGTGGACTCAATTTAGGTATATATAAAGGGGACGCAATCGTGGGGACCAGGAGGTTGATCAACCAGGACATTGATCAGTCGGAAAAAGTATTTTGCCGGTCTCTAATATATTCAATGCTAATCTTTTTTCCGAAGAAAATGTTGATAAGTTCTCGTTTATTCGGGAGAAAATGAAGCGGGGTCCTACAAAGTTCAAAATTCTCTTAATCTTATTAAATTAAATTAGTGTTGCTGTTTGCAATTTAAATGGAGGTTCTTTTGAATATACTGTTTTGGAATTGAAAAATTATGATTATGAAATTGTGTTAAATAAATATGATACTTGCCTTTCTGGAGTGGCTTTTAATAATGTTATTGTTAATTATTTTGTTTCTGAATTTAAACGAGAGAATGGAATTGATTTAAATAAGGTTTTTAAATTTTTATGTTGGGATAAGAAAAATTAGGTTTTGGATGCTTCTGCTATTTGATTCGAAGCTTTCAAACTATAGATAGACCCATTCAACCGTCCCTCTGTCCTCATTTTTCTTAGTTTTCTATTGCTGACTATGTAGATGCCTTATAATACCAAGATCTTGAAATATCGAACCTTGGAAAAAACCATAATATCAATGTTATTTATCTATGTTATTTACCTATCTATGTACAGTCTTAATTACAGGGGGTTTTATTCCAACAATAGGAGATATATCCCAACTGAATTTTCACTGGATAAACTTTTTGTGCTGTTTGAACAACATCCCCCGTCGTTAGAACAACTTCCCTCATTGATGGAAAAAAACCAGTTTGGTATTTCAAGCGTATTTGGGGGCTTGGTATTAGTATAAGACGTTCCGGACTAGTTAATCGAGATGGGAAGATTTAAGAAAAATTAATTTTTAAGGATTCTATAGCAAAGCAACGTTTACGTGAGGCTGCTGAAAAGGCAAAATGTGAGCTTTCCAATTCTGCTCAAACTGAAATTATTCTTCCAAATATTATTGCTGATACTAATGGAGAACTTAAACATTTTCAAATTATATTGTCTCGTTCTAAATTTGAGGAATTAACTTCGGAATTGACTCAAAGAATTGTGGAAATTTGTCAACAAACAAAAGAAGAAATTAAACCGGAAGTAGAAATTCGACAACCATCTTTAGATAATGAAATTATATCTCAGCATTGGAAGGAGAATTTACCTTCTACTGGTATCGACCAAGTTTTACTTGTAGGAGGGATGACTAGAATGCCTAAGGTTTACAAATTTGTGATTTATTTTTGTGTTTTTTTGGTTGTTTTATGGTGATATGTGGACAAATTAATAGAGTTCATACTAAGACAAAGTCTTCCACGGCCTATTTTACTATTTTCCAAGTTATATTGAGAAAATTGTTTGCCCTTTGAAGAAATGATGGATGTTTGGTTGGTTGGTTGGGTAGGGGGGGGGGTATTTTGATTATCAATTCCTCGAATTACTTTGCTTTTAAATCCTTTATTTTTAATTATTTAAACAGATTAGAATGATTATTGAGGAAGTTTTTAAAAAGGAAATATTTATTTCCCAACTTGAAGGAGCACTTGCACTTGGAGCTGTTTATTTGGGTGTATTTTTTGGTGATATAAATTATTTTGATGACAGAAGAACATCTAAAAACAAACTTATTAAAATGGTATTTTTTGAGAATTCAATGAAAATTAAATTTTTGATTAAATTTTAATTTTGTAAAAACGAATAAGTATCTGATCAAATTATATAATCTCAAAATCTCCCATAAAAAATTAACTTTTGTCCACAACTTTATCATAGTTTAAATATTTTTATAAACAAAATTTCTCTTAATTTCAGATTTTTAAATTATTTTTTATTTAATTATTTTATTTTTAGGCCTCACAAAAAATGTTTATCGGAGAAAGAAAATTTGATGTTCAGGATGCCGCTAATTTGGTTTTCTCTATTTAATTTTGTTTTTTTAATTTATTTTATTTTTTAGTTTTGGGAGGTTATTGCTATTTTTATTAAAGAATTTTATTCTTCATTACATATTGATATACGATCACGTATAGCAATAACAGGATTGGGTTATTTTGCGGCAAAATATGCTGACCGAAAATATGATATTGGTTATTGTGCCATAAATCAAGCTGATTACATGTTTGTGGAAATTTAGCACTAATTATGTCCACACCGAATAGTTAGGGAATTCATTTGGGACATGGGGACATAAGAACTTTTTGATTTTTTGTAAGAGAAAATATTGATTAAAGATTAAAAAATTTACTAATCTCTTCTTAAAATTTAAATTTCAGTTCTAGAAAGGGAATTGGTTGGTCTTATGGTGGCGAACATAGAGACTTGTGCAATGAAGTTTTTTGCTTTTTAAATAATTTTTTGTTTATTAACAAAAAGAAAGTTTGGTCTAAATTAAAGCCTTATTTATTTGGGGAGAAATTAGTAACAGAAGAAAAATACATGATACCCAGGGATTTTCACAAGGTTAAATTTAAAAGAATATCAACTCGAGAAGTTAAAGATTTAAGAAAGCAAAAATTGAAAAAATATTTTTTGTTTAAAGCATATTAAATTTAAAAATTTTTAAAACTTTTGTCATTTTTGTTCTTGACTGTCTTATATTAAATGAAAGTTTTCGATTTTTTAAATATTTTTGAAAAGAATATTCCGAACTAAATAGGTGGGGATATTTACTAATTTTAGAATATTTCTGAATGGAAGGGAGGGTCTTTTTACTATATAGGTGTGGGCTAGTATAAAAGTAGTCAGTAGGATAGACCGCACCCTAATATCTTCACAATTCGGATTCATTTAGATTCGGGGGAGTATTCGGAAATGTTTAGGAAATCCGTTTAATTTTATTTACTGTAAAGACAATCCTATCGTAATTTTTGAAAAATCAAGGACATTGTTTAAATTTATTTTTAAATAAAGAGATTAATGAAAAAGTTTAGATTACAAGCCGATAATTAAAGCTAATCAATGTCTAATCATTTCACAGAAATGAAAATTTAAAATGCAAATAAAAAAGAGAAAATTTAATTTTGAATAAATTGGACGGAGAAAAAAACAATTTTTAGAAGGAATGAAAAATAAATTTTTGAGGATTCAATTTAATAGAGAGATATATAATTTTCTTAAAGTGAACAAAATATAATGCACAATTTAAAAAAAGGCTTTTCGATTTTTAAAGATATCACACAAAAATAAAAATTATTTTTTTATTTAACCGGTGTGGGGGGATTCGTTGTATAATTATTACACGAAGCAAAAAATTCCCGACGTTTAGATGATTTGCCTACTTTACGTAATAATGTGCAAACCTTCTCTACATAATCCTGATGGATATACCTGAAAAGTAAATTAAAAATTAGTCTCTTATAAACACACCCTCAGGGTTAAAAATTGTATCTTAAATTGAAGGGTTCGGATTAAGGTTGATGGTTCCGGATATCCGTAGATTTACCAGTAACGATTGGGAGTATTCACAAGACCCGAAGGTAATTAAAAATAATTTCCAAAAAACCTACATATATTCAATACAATCCCACATCATTTTAGCAATTTCTTCATCACCCTTTGCATCCATTTGAACTTCTTTATGAAGAGGAGCGCTAAGTCTAAAATAGGGTGTTCTTGAAGATATACACCAAGCTCCAGCTCTGTGTACAGGGGCTCCTTCTGTTGCTGATACCTTTTTTCGAATTATACAAAATTAATTTAGAGTTCAAAGTCTTTGAAATGTTGGGACAGATATTCGAATATTTTAGAAAAACCCCGGCTGAGTTTTCAAATTTAAAACAGAAAATCTGAAAATTTTTAGAAAAAATATCATTTTAGGTCTCGAAAATGTTTTTTGGTTAAAACAGGGATGGATCGGGTTACCCGAAACAACCCGATCCGACTTTTTTCGACCCGATTAATAAAAAATTAAAATTCAGCTAACTTGATCAATCAAAATTTGCCCAATAGTAATCACAGCATTATAGGAAGTTATTGGTTGCGTAATATAATTTTGTGCTAACTCTAAATGTGCTGGCTTAAATTTAAAAAATTAATTTTTTTTAATTAAAATTTCAAAACCTCCAATTTTGTCGAAGGAATAGAACCAGTTCCAATACTTAAAAGACAACCAATACGAACAGATTTTGGAATATTCTTTAACAAAAAGAAATTTTAATAAAAAATTTAAAAAAAACCTTTAATTTATTAAAACTATTCCAAAATTGTACTTCTTGTAACAATTCAAGTGATGGATTATTTGAGATTATACCTCCATCAATATATTTATTATCAACAGCAGAAAAGAATGTAGGGGCTGAAAAATTTTTTGAATCAAAAATAAAGAAGAGCTTAAAAATATTTTAATTTTTGAAAATATGCCAAGAAAAAAGGAAGGCTGAAAAGAAACAAAAGAATATTTTTAGTAATTAGCAAAAAAAAAGGTGAAGATTTAATGCACCCAATGCGAGAAAGGCTAATCTATTACAAGTCCAGTCTACCAAAAACTCATGGCTAAATGTAAACATAAAATTTTAAACACAACGAGATACGTTGAGTCATACTAAACCTAAATCCTGTGGTAGAAAGAGCCGAGGGAGCGAGTTAGGGTTGCCAAAATGGACCGACTCGGATCAAAAGATCGAGTCGGGCCTAGAAGTTTGACCCGAAAGTGACTCGTACCAGTCCAAACTCAATAAAAATAAGGCCGAAAAAATGCCTCAACCGTCAACCCGACTTGAAAACGGCAACCCTAGACCTAGTCGTACTCAAATCCTCTGACATAAAAGAGGACATTTCGATTATAATCTTTCCAAAAATTTTAAAATAATTTTTAAAAATTTGTAACCTGCTGAAGAACGTCTCAATGCCTTCCATAAGTACAATTCTAAATTTAGAATAAAATTTCAGAAAAAATCAAAACTAACTTTCAGAATTTTTAAATCCAAGTTCCGAATTCTCATCATCAGTTGTTGGGAGAGTATAATTCCTCATTAATTCTAATTGAACAGGGAAATAATCTGCTTTTGTTGTAGTGAATAAAAGTCTAAAAAATAATTTTTTTAATTTAAAAAAAAAATGAAAAAAGAACCTTGGCCATTCCAAATCAATCAACAATTTATCTTTTCCCAATTCTTCTTGAATAAAAGTCTCCAAAACAGTTGTATTGTGTGGTCGACGATTATCAAAAACCAGATCTTTGAAACGAATATAAACCTTTAAAAAATAAAAAAAATTAATTTAAAAAGAATTAGAAAACCCTTTGAAGTTCTCGAAGAGTCTGCCCACTTGCAAGACCAGCAGCAACTAATGAACCTGTTGAAGTTCCTGCCACCCAATCAAAATATTCAAAAATAGATTCACCCATAACACGTTCAACTTCTAACATTATCTGAAAAATTTTTCTGAAAAATATTACAAAACTATAATTTAACGAGGGAAAAATGAATGGAAAAAAATAAAAAATCCCCCCCCCCCCATTTTTCCCTTCAAATGAATATTAATCCAAAAATATTTCAATCTTCCTAGTTTCCTAAGGTCCGGAAAGTCTAGTACTTATGATTTTAAATACCATTCTTTACCTCCATTTTTGTCAACTAAAATTAATCCAAAAATTCCCCTATTTTTCATAGTTCCCCTTTTCTAAACAAAATTTAAAAAAAACCTGAGTAATAACCAAACCACGAATTCCGCCACCATCCAAAGAAAGTATATTTATTATACTCGAATTTTCATCTTCATTTTTTTCATTCAAAACCCCAATCATTTCATTATAAATTGAATTATGTTCAGCATCTAATATTTTATTATATCTCAACATTTCTTTACTAAATGTCCGATTTTCTAATTCTTCCACTAAAGATGTTGGACTTTTCTTTGCATCTGGTACTATTATTGGCATTGAAGAAGAAGGCTTTTTGATTGCTCTTAATGCTTTATTATCTACACAACCAGAAACACAACCAATTTTTGTTGCTGGACAGCGTTTTGCACCGCATATTATTAGACTTTTGAGAAGTTCAAATCTTAATGAAATTAATTAAAGAAAAATTTAAAAAAAGATGACAAGTGGAGTTCCAAAAAGCTTATTCATGACCGACTCCGAATACTTTAGTTTTGAGAAGTATTTTTCTAAACGCGCAACTTATACCGAGGAGCCGATTAAATAACAAAAATAGACAGAATTTAAATCATGTCAAGTTTTGATTAAAGCAATTGATAACAGAAAAAATTTAAACACATAAAATGATATTAACTAAAACCCAGCTTTCCAAAAAGGGGTATAAAGAGAATTTCCGATATAAACTCTTTTTAGTTGACAAGAAACATAAAAAATTCTCCCAAAAGTTTCATAATCACCTTCGTAAATATTTATTACTTCATTAAAAATTTAAAAACTAACTCATTCAATTTAGCAGCCATATGACGAGGAGTATCTCCATGACTATTGACAGGATTTGGATCAGCGCCAAGACTTAAAAGTAAACGAGTAATTTCCAAATTACGTTGAGAAACAGCCAAATGAAGAGCTGACATTTTAGAATAATCAGCAGGGACATTTAAATCAGCGCCGTATGAGGCAATACACATTGTTAAACCTTAAAATAATTTTTTTCAAAAAATGAATTCAAGAACCGAAATCTCCAGCTATCACAAATTGATGTAAAGGTGTTAGTCCTGCCTTGTTTTTTGAATTTAGATCAAGCTCTGTATGTTTTAAATGAAGAACACTCATAAGTGAAGTTTTGAAGAGAGCGGCATGAAGGCACTTAAAACAAAATAATTTATAAAATAAATTACTAACTGTATTTCCAGTGGCCAGGTCTCGTTCATTAAGAACTCCAGGAGAAGCTTCCAAAACAACTCGAATCATTCTAATTAAAAAAATAAAATTTTTAAGAGTAATGTTTATTAAAGAAAAGATGAGGAAAAAGAGGAGGAGAGGGGGGTTATGTGAAGAGAAATGAGGGTATCTTTCTTGTTGATAAAAACAATAAGAGACTGACTTTTTTGATAAATTTATAAAAAATCGGACCAATTTTTAAAGCTTGAGTGGCTATTGGTGGGAAGGTGGCTTCAGATATTTTCTTAACGATACCCTCCATTTAGGTACAACTCGTTTATACAAACAATTTTTCCAAACACAAGAGTTTTAAAAATAAAATAAATAAACTAACTCAACAGTCTTCCCCTTAGATTGCATCAACTCAAAAAGAGGATTTTTGTCAGATGCCTTCAACATTAATTCACCACCAAAACCCAACAAAGTTTTTAGACAAAGCGGATTCAAATTTTGGAATGCAACACGAGTTGGCGTTTCCCCATCGTTGTTTTTTGAGTTTAAAAGAGGCTTGCAAGATTCAAAATGCCAAAGGGTTTCTAACATACTTGCTGAAGCTAAAGCTGCATAATGGAGCTAAATATAATTTAAAAAAATCTTTCTTAAGAAATATAAAAATTAACCGAATTATTCCCTTTTGGATCTCGTGCACCTGGATTAGCGCCATTTTTAAGAAGAAAACGAACAATTGACTCTTGTTGTTTTTCTATTGCCAACATTAAAGGATATTTGCCTTCAGGAGAGCAAACGACATTTGTCAAATCTAAAAAATAGAAAATTCTAAAATATTTCATTGTCCTTTTCTAAAATATTTCTAATTATTTTAGAACATATTTCATTGTCCACAAAATTTTCCAGTAATAAATTAAAAACCCCGTACCATCAACAGAATATCCAAATTTCTTTATACATTCGATTCCCTCATCAGAGAAAATATCTGTTCGATTGCATAATATAGCAATATGAACCATTCTCCAAAGTGGGTGATTTTTAATCTGAAAGAAAATCAATAGTAGTTTTAAAAAATTTTAAAAACCATATAAGTAACATCCCAAACAGGCCTTCTAATATCCTTCTTTTGGTCTAAAAATAAAAATTTTCGTTAAAAAATTTAAAAAATAGATACCAAGAAGATTAAAAAGAACACGGCATTCATCACAACGTCTACAAAAATCAAGAGCCTCCTCAGCGTTAAAAGAACGGAAAATTGTTAAATGTCTATTCTTGCCATCTTCAGTACAAGTGTAAACAACATGATTTAGAGCTACAGAAGGATCACTCTTTAAAGAGCCTTGAACAACCATTAAAGCAGTTGTACCAATATGACCATCAGAAGGGTAGACAATTTTGTGACAGGCCAGCAATTCTGAACGAATGTCAACAACTTCATAAGGGTCACTGAAAAAACTACATAAACGGTTTTACTTGAATATTTACATCCTTCCAAATTAAGTAGAGAATCCAGTAACCCCGCCTAGAAATTTCTTTTACAGGACCTTGAAACGAATCACCGTTTATAACCTCATGGTCGACTGGATTTCTGATTGGGAAAATATACATATGACCAAAACTTGAATCAAACAAATCGTGACACCGAAGACCCCTTAGCCTCCAAAAATAAACTATTTTTATTAATCAAAAATTACCTAGGAATCCAGTAATCCTCGCCTAAAAATTTCTCTTTTACAGAAGCAATCGCTGCAGATGCAAAATCATTAACTTTTACGGTGATCTGCGCTAATGAGAAGAATCTGAATAAAAATATCAAATAAAACAAACTTCAATATAAAATTAAAACCTCGGTTTCCCATCATCTTCTGTACGTACAGGAGTCCCTTCATTGCTATCACTTTCTTTGACACCAGTTTTGATCAAAGCTGAATCCTCATTTACTTGGTTGACATCATTTTGAACAACAGAAGTGTCAACTACATCAGTTTCAGCAGCTCCTTTATTTTCAATCATTTTGAAAAATATATTTAAAAATAATGAAATGAAAAAAACTAAAATTATGAAAAAATGATGAAATTAACACAAATTTTTACTGCAGAAAATACCCAGGTATTTGGTAATATTTGCAAGGGCAAAGACTGTTAGGGCCACATAAGCGCAACAATCTATGCTAACACAAAAAGATAATAAGAGGGATGACTAATGTAAGAGGAATTTTACGAGAAATTTACATGACATAAAGGCAGGGGGATTCGGATAATACTAGTATTTTTAAGCATTGATCTATAGTCCACAGATGTCTAAAAAGGGACTCCAAATCTTCTAAAGCCCAAGACTAGTTTTGTTGCTCGCTAAAATCTCATTTTTAAGGTATCTAAAGATAAGGCAAAGTTTTAAAACTTTTCTACCTTTCAAAAACAATTTTTGAGCAAGTCTTTATCATTTGAGAAAAATTCATAAATTATGGGACAGAAAAAAATTTTTTGGCAGTCAATAAAGTAAAACAAAATAATACGCATTTAATAAAATTTTCTTTTCATAAAATCATCATTTAAAGCTTAAAGAAGTACCACACTCATTCTTCTTTTCTTCATCAACTGGTTCAAGTCTTCCCGTTTTTGTTGTACTGATAATATTTGTTGCTTGCAAATTACACTTTAATGTATCAGGCGAAACAAGTGATGAGACAAAAGAAGAATCCAAAAATGAATCACGACGTTTATAATTGACATCCTTTTTGGGAGTAATAAGGCCCTTCTGCTCTTCAAAAAGTTTTTCAGCTTCAGGGAGGTTGATAAGCACTTCGGTGAATTTTCCACTTTTACGTTCTGGAGTTTTTCCTAAAATTTTACATTTCAAAGTTGAATCATTTTTACAAATAACCTGAGGACTGGATTTGAACAAATTCCTTTTCAACAAAATTCTCCATCTTTTGTGTAGTGTTGTCAAATAATTGTGACATTTCTGATGAATGTGACGCACAATCATTAACCTAATTTTTTGTTATTATTTAAATTTTTAAATTCTTTTACAAACCTGTTTATTGATTGTTGACAATGTGCTGTGAATAGCCTTTCCGAATTCCTTGTTATGTTCAGTCGCAACATTTTTGAGAGAATCCAATTCTTGATTTATGCGATCGCGGAATTCTTGAGTAAACTGGAAAACGTGATGAAAAGATAATTAAAAATTTTTGCAAAAAATTAACCTTTTCAATATTTTGTTCAAATTGATCAGAAATTTCTTTCAATGCACAAACAGCAGTTTTTGCTTCCTCCAGTTGAATCTCTGACCGGTTAGTGAAGCTTGTAAGTTGATTTCTTCCAATTTCAAATTGTTTGTATTGACCATCAAACAGCTCTTTCAATTTTTGGTAGTTTCCATCAAAGGTTGTCAACTACAAATTGTTTATAATTTTAAACAAAATCAAAAATTTAAGGAAGAAACTAACCACTTCATTGATCTTGTTAAAGAGCAATCCGTTTTGGCTATACAATCCATTAGAATAGGTTTGCAACTTAAAAATAAAATTTTAAAAAATCCAAAATATTAAAGAAAAACCTTCAATGCTTGAGATCTGAGACGAACAAAGGAATCACAAGAAACTGAAAGAGCCTGTGACGCAGCGTTGTAATTATCTTTTGTTTGAGCTATTTCCTTTTTTTAGTAAAATTTTTTTTATTGGACTTTAAAAATAATTACCAGGCTTAATTCTTCAATTTCTTCCTTTCTGCTTTCCAATTTAGCTAATGCTGAGCGAAATTTTTCATAAATTGACTTGTAATGTTGATCCATGACAGCAAAGTCCTCAAGCAACTTGAAAAATTTTTAAAAGAATAAGCGTATTCTAAAGTAAAAAATTTACAATTTGAACTTGGCGCAACTTGCCCTCAAGTTGCGTCTCCAATTCTTCCACCTTTGCCTTTTTCTCATCGATTGACTCAATCATTTCACTAAAAATTAATTTATTATAATGAAAATTTAAAAAATACACATACTCATAATTCTCCTTATCCAAATAAATTCCATGTTTCTCCCTAGCAGCGAGAAGATCACGACGGAGGCGATCTATTTCATCGTTGTATTCTTTTAGAAGGCCACGTCGCGTGATTCGTTGGTTGACTTCTGGATTGTTCTTGATGTTCTTAGCTCTTTGAGCATAATCCAAAGTGTTGACAGATTCCTGAAATTTATTTAAATTTTGATTTTATCAAAATATAATAAACCTCAAAGTTTGACGAAGCTGGAGATATTGTTGCAATGATTGTAGTAATTGTTTTGCCACCCAAAGAATCTTGTAAAATACGTGTCAGTTTGCTTTCGCGATAAGGAATGTGTGAAGCACCCATAGTCAATGCATTTATCACACGTCCGAGTGCCAACAGGCTTGTGTTGATGTTTCCTTTTTTAAGAAATATAGACAGAATTAAAAAATAAAAAATACCCGCTTCTCTAGCTCGAATATCTGTCGCGCCAGAGCGCCCAATATTTTCAGAACCAGCAAGATCGACCAAATTAAGCTTTCCTTGTCGAAGCAATTCTTCGCCATTTACCAGGCCGGGCTCTCGAATCTAATTTCAATTATTAAAATTGAAAAGCTTTTCAAAAACTCACCATAACAGAAACAGTGAAGACAGAATGAGAACGGCTAAAATAAACAAAATATATGGATAAACATTATTACAAAAGAACCTAGATGTCATGTTCATAAGGGTTGTGGCTGTACGACGCTTCTCAGCTCCACGTCTAAGCAATTCGTGAACTTCCTTTGGTGAGCGGACAATGACCTCTTCAGCACCAGCAATTGATACTCCCTTCAAAATAATGAAATTTAATCGCGTTTTTTCAAATTAAAAATAAACCTTTGTTTTATCATCAAAAATTCTCAATGATTCTAATTGTGATTCAGTCCGATTCAGCAAATCAAAAATTTGTTCATTGTAAAGCTCAATATAAGAGACGCGCACAGTGTAGTCAATATCCTCGCCAAGTACAGAAAAAATTTGATCAAGTGCGCGTGGAATAATTCCTGCTGTTGGATCAGTGTTCCATGCGAAGTCTTCAGAGGAATCATGACGTCCTTCCATCGTAAACGTCTTTCCACTTCCTGTTTGACCATAAGCAAAAACTGTGCAATTGTAACCATCAAGGACTTGCCCCATGAGGGGGGCAAGAACGCCCTCGTAGACTTCCATTTGGGTAGACTCCGGGCCAAAAATCTAAAAAAATATTTGAAATTATTAAAAAACAAGTTAAAAACCTTATCATAAGGTCCAAAACATTTCTGTCCTTGACCGAACCGTGAAGAATCAGAGAAGCCAACAGCTTTGCACGAAACAGTCCTTGCTACACGGTCACACGAAACAATGTTTTTGTTACATCCAGAGCGTTCAATATCGCTCAGCGGTCTTAAAAAAGATTTTTAATTTCAAATTAAATATAAACGAAAAATTAGATAAAAGTAAAAATTTCAAAATTAGAACCTGATTCTAACAGCAACTTGAACATTTTTTCTTTTACCAGTTTTATCTTTAGATTTCATGACGGACATTTGAATTGATGAGAAAATTTTTTTAAACTTTTCTAAAAAAATTAAAATTATTTTAATTATTTTTTTTTTCGTGAGGAAAAAATTAAAATAAGAAGTAAACACTAACAAGGAGAACTCACAAACTGTGAGTCAAAACTTTGTGCTTTAATCGATAGAGCATCATCGATTTGCTCTAGAAAATTTCCGGCTTTTTTTGGCTAGGAAAATTAAACTAAAAAGTTATGAGAAAGAAAGAAGAGGGAAGGGGAAAGGGTCAGCAACGTGAAAAATTCAAATGGTCAGTCGCTGGAAAAAAGAGGAAAATAGAAATTTTCAATTAGACGCGCATCTTTAATTTAAGAGAAGAATTTGCGCGATAAAATGAAGCGGCCTTGGACGGTTCAAATCGGCCGTTTCAGAGTAGCAACAACCTTAAATATTTTTTGTTTTAAAGTTGAATTGGGCCGTTTCTCGTTTTTTTTCTTTTTTTTTTATTCATTTGGCTTGAAAACCAATTGATAAATAATTTTTGTTTTATTTTTAGCCTTAAACATTCTAAGTTTCAAATGCTTAAAAATTTTCATCCCATTGATCAACAACGTTATTTTGACCGTAAACAGTTTTCAGCCACGGAATTGAATAGATTTTTTGATATTGGTATTTTAATAATTTCAAAGAAATTTTCTTTCTTTTACAGGTCTCGAAAGCATTTCTCAAGGAAAGTTAGCCGTGATAACACTTGCTGGTGGACAAGCTAGTCGACTTGGATCTTCCCTTCCAAAAGGCGTTATTAACCTGGGAACTGGACTTGTGGCAGAAAATGATTCTCTTCTGTTTTTACAAGCTTGTCAAATTAGCTATCTCCAAAAGAAGGCTAAAGGAAGAATTATTTGGTTAGTAATGACGAGCAGATCGACAGATGCAAAAATACGTGAACATTTGGATATCATCTTGAAAAAGACAAATTTGGACTGGAAAAATGTAGGAGTTTTTAAATAGAATTGGAAGGGTGCGTGTCTTATTTTCTACAATTTTTATGGAGACTTCTTTTCAAAAATATTTCTTTTCACAGTTTTTTGTTCAATATTTCCAAATTTTGGGTGTTTTTTGATTCCTTTAATTTTTTCTTCGGGTTGAACGTAGCGCGCCGTTATGGCAAAAAAGCTGTAATGGCAAACCCCCAAAAACCGCCGAAATGGCAAACTGTGGGAAAGGGCACCGGTTTTACTTTTCGCAATATGCTAAACAAGTTTATATTTAAATTTTTAGGTCATGGTTTTTACTCAAAATGAAATTCCTGCTCACGATTTTGATGGTCAACCTCTTCTATCTGCACCTGATCGGCCTGTTACTTCACCAGGTTTTTAAGAAATTTACGACGATTTTAAGAAAAAAAATTTTTAGATGGAAATGGCGGTATTTATCAAGCAATTTTGCCAAAGCTTCCAGAACTTGAAGAAATGGGAATTGAATACTTTCATGTTTATTGTGTTGACAATATTCTCTGTCGTGTTCCTGATTTACATATGATTGGCTTTGCTGTTGATAAAAAGGCTGATTGTGTTTTGAAGGTTTTTTTTGTTTTTTGCTAAGGGCACGTATATATAGTGGGATAGGTTTCAAAGGGATTCTCTAGACTTTTTGATATATTCGGTGCATGGGCCATACAACAAGTTACGTAATTTACATTTTTAATGGCATCCTTTACCTTATTCAAAAACATTTTTGACTTTTAATTTAAGAAACAAAACCCTTTTAATCCATTTTAAAAGCAATTTAAGGTAATTGAGAAAAAGGATCCTTCAGAAAAAGTTGGCCATGTCTGCGTTGAAGATGGAAAAATTAAAGTATTAGAATATTCAGAAATTCCAAAAGAACTGGCTGAAAAACGTGATCCAAAATTTCCGGAGAAATTGTTCTTCCGTGCTGGGAATATTGCCAATCACTTTTTTACTCTCGACTTTCTCAAAAAAGCTTGTTTGGAATTTGATTCTCTGCCTTATCATGAAGCACGCAAACGTATACCTTATTGGGATCCGGCTACTGGAAAAAACGTTCAACCAACTAGTGAGAATGGCATAAAGAAGGAACGTTTTATTTTTGATGCTTTCATCCATTCAAAGTTTGTTTTTGATATAAATATTTTGTGTTTATTAGAATAAGATTTCGTGTTTGTGAGAAGTGAAGGGAGGCCTTTTTTGTATTCTAGACGAGTTGGGTTGGTGGGGAAATATGGATGTAAGAGTTTTTATCGATCGGACAAAATACTTTGTTTTTCAATAAGTTTAAATAAGATGATTTCCAGTATGGGATTTTTAGGTGCCCGAAGTATCTATTTTTGACTTAACATAAGATCTCTTGGTGAATCCTTGCTAATCTGTTTTTTATTTTTAGAAATTTTATGGTCTGGCAAGTACCCCGCGAAGAAGAATTCAGTCCATTGAAGAATCCCGACTCTGCAGGTGTTGATTGTCTCTCAACTTGTATTCGTGACTTTACCTCTGTTAATGGAAATGTGATTAGAGAAATGGTTAAAGAATTTTGTAAGAAGGAATGAACAGATTTAGTTAATGGTTGTTTTTAAGTATTTATTTGATTTTTAAATTTCTATTTATTACGGGATAAGTTGTCAGCTTTTCACTTCACTTAAGTTAGGACTTTCGATATATTTTTCACGTTTTTCTACTTATATGTTGATATTATAGGCTATTTATGCGACACGACACCTGTGACTCACTATTGGGGTTGAGAGGGCTTGAAATTGTTTTTGAAGGGGAAACATAAAATTACAGATATTAAAATTGAATTGAAAATTTTAATTTTTTACTTTAATCAGGGTCACAAGTGTTGTGCTATATTTTTTTTTGACCTTAAAAAATAAAAGCTTTATTTTCTAAAAAAATTTATGGAAAAATAAAATCTTAAATTATTGTTTTTAATTTTTTTCAAGAATGTCTTATGAACATTTATAATATTTTAAAAAATTTTAGGACCTCATATAGGGGTTTGAAAGCATCAAAAATTTATCATAATTAGTGTTTTGTTTTAGGATAAATGTCTTTTGGTCAACGATCCTTTATAGATACGGGGAATATGAGACCCGACATTTCATTTGCTTTTCTCTGATTCGACACCCATTTTTAATCAAATGTCAACTGACTTTCACATTTAATGAATTTCTGAGTTCTTTTCCCTTGCACATGTGTCAAAATTTTTGACGAAAAGCCGGATTATATTGCGGAAACTTTTATTTAAAGTTCATTCAAAAATGTGCAACACATGTGCTATTTTAGAAGAAATTTGATAACCTTCATAAAAATTTTAAGCAAAACTTTTTTAGTTATTTTAAGAATATTTTATTTAATTTTTTAGTTAATTTATTAAAGATAATGTTAATGTCGCAGATTACTTCAATTAAAGAACTTTTACCTGTTTTGAGCAAAAAATTGAGGAAAGGAGATTGTGGGAAGATTGGTGTGATTGGAGGTTCTGCTGAATATACAGGTTATTTTTTTAAAGGTTATTTTTCTAATATAGGATCTGAGGAGGCTCTGAAAAGTGAATTTAGTTTAAGGCAGGTCTCAAAGAATTTTGGGAATATTTTTTGATTTTTTTTTTAATTTTTTGGTTTTCATTCCCACCGATCTCTCTCATTCTCATTTCGTTGCTTTTTACCTATTTTAATAAGACAATTTTAATTTAAAGGTGCTCCTTATTTTTCTGCAATGTCCACTTTAAAAATTGGTGCTGATCTTTCTTTTGTTTATACACACCCTTCTGCTGCGCCATCAATTAAGAATTACAGTCCTGATTTGATTGTAAATTTTTTAAAGAAAATTCTGTTTTAATTTTTATAATTTTTTAAAGGTTTATCCAACCACAGATCTCGCAAAAAATCGTATTAGTTTAGAAAAGTTGGATGCTCTTGTATTTGGTCCAGGATTGGGTAGAGAACAGCACACCAAAGAATTGTTGAGAGGAATCGTTGAATTTGCGAGGAATTCACCAAAAGTATGATTTTTTTATATTTGTTTTCTGATCCTTGGGGTTAAAAAATTTATATATAACGATTAGAATCATTTTAACGACTTCCCCATCTTGTGGTCAAATAAATTTAAAGAATGTTTCCTAGCTAGAGTGTATTTAGTATCGGGGTTATCTCACATTTGAGCCCGACTTTCTAGAGTTTTTTTTTGCCAAATTTGAACTCAATTTATTATTTTTCTAGATTTGTGTGGTTATAGACGCTGATGGACTTTTCTATTTAAACGATTGTTTTAAAGAGCTTTCTCTTGGTGATTGCCGAAATAATCTTTTGATAACTCCAAATCACAGAGGTTTTATTTTTCAGGAATTTTGAAATTTAAGGGCCTCATTTTCATTTCCTTCAACTACCAAAAATTTTTTCCTCTAAAGCTTTTCAGAAAAAAATTTCGGAATTTCTAGGTGAAATTATTTTCTTTCGCTTTTCGACGAATTTTCTGGATTGATTTCTCAATCTTTTATTTCTTTTCCTTGAAAAATAATTTCCTTTACAGAATTTGAACGTCTTTACTCTAAAGTATTTCCTGAAAAACAAATTGATGAAAAAAATATTCGAGAACATGTTAAAGAATTAGCTGCAATTTTGGGGATTGTTATTATACGGAAAGGTATTTATTTGTTTTTAATCTAATTTTTAAAATTTGTTTTTTAGGCGAAAATGATATAATTAGTGATGGAAATGAATTGATGATTGAAGATTCTGAAACTTCATTGAGACGTTGTGGAGGGCAAGGTTAAAATTATTTTATTTTACGTTAGGCACTAAAATACGTAATTTCCTGAATAATTTGAGATTTTTTTTCGAAGATGAGGGGGGGGGTAATCAAGGGAGGGTGAGGAGTAAGTGAGAAAATAGGTTAAAGGGTGAAAATTTCAAATAAGCTCGCGACATTTTATTAGAATAGATTTAATAAATTCTTAAATACCATAAATTGTAAAAGTTTCATTCCATGTCAGTCCATCCCAAAGACCCAAATTTGAGTAACTATAACTCGGGCCAACGTCATTTTTGTAAGAAGACGAACACATTTCGCAATAAAAAGTCAGGGGTCCACTATCGGTAGTAACAAAATTTATATAATTTTTGTGCACTACGCGATGTTTCTTTGTCATTTCATTTTTGAGAAATTTAAAATATATAAATTCAAAATATTTTTAGGAGACATTCTTGGTGGAGCAATTGCACTTTGTTCGTATTGGGCAAAACTTAAAAGAATTAAAAATACAAAGGAGAACAACAATTCTCAATATTTAACTAATGATTTAATGATTGGGGCTTTAGCAGCTTCCCAACTTCAACGAAGAGCTTCGCTTTATGCTTATCAAGTAAATTTTTTTAAATTTTTTATTAAAATTTAACAAATCAAAAATTTAGCGTGTTGGACGTTCAATGCAAGCTTCTGATGTTTTAGAAAGTATTCCAGAAGTTTTAAGAGAAATTGACCTTGTATTGAAAGTGTGCAATGAAAATTATATTGTTTAATTGAAAAGCCATTATATTTTTGATTTCTAATATTTTTTGTGTCAAAAATTATTTTAAAAATAATTTTTATTAATTAAAAAATTAAAAAAAAAGTGAAAAAAAATGTGGCAGCATAAAATAGGTAAAGTATATAAAATCAGAAAAAAATTCGAAAGAATGAAAGAATATTTCTTATCACTCAGTCTTTTAAGAGTACAGAAAAAAATAATATAGGGAGGGGAAAAGCTATTAAAAAATTCTCGATCTCTAAAGAATTTCTATCGTAAAAAAAGAATAAAATTTTGTTGCTTCTTTTATTCATCCCTTTTAAAATTTTTTAGTCACAAAAATAAATTATTTCGAAACTAAATTGAGTGATAATAAAAAGATTACAATTAGAAATTTAAAAATTACAATTGAAAAATTAAAGAAAGTTTAGTTTAAATTTTTTAAAAATCTATCTTAAATAGTTTAACTTATTAAAAATTCAAACTAAAAAATTTAGAAAAAAACAAAATTAAATATAATTAAAATTGGACCCGGAGTGAAAAAATACATATAAAATAAATATTCGGATGTCGCGGAAATTTCTGATAAAAATTAGAAAGGTTTAGGGAAAGATGTCTCAGAAAATTCTCGATTTCATAGTCGACACAAATACAAACTAAATATTAATCAGGATAAATTGCGCGCATCCGTTATAAATAAAAGTTATGAAGAAGGGAAAAAAGAATTTTAGGTCTAATTTTGAATATTTATTTTTGAAGTGATTTGAGAACGAATCAGAGGTTACAAAAAATATTTTTTTTAATTTAATAAATTGACCCAGAAAACTTTTTTAATTAAGAGCTTTTAAAGGAGGAAATAAATAATTAGAAAAACATTCCCTGCACTCTTACCTAATGAAAGAAAAAATTTCTCTTCAAATGCAATGAAAATTATTAGAGATTGAACTGAGATATCTTCAAAAATTTCAGTTAAAATCCAATCTTGCTCAATCTCCAATTTCCTGTCTCTATTCAAAATTAATAACAAAAATTTAAATATTAATACATCCTAGTCTTAAAAAATAAAAAAAAATCTCTCAATATTTTAAAAAATTAAAGTTTTTTTAATCTCAACAAAATTATTTAAATTATTTGCTTAGACTGTTCCCTGCCTTGAGTATAGCTGCCTCTAGAATTATTATTGTTGTTTTGCGGTCTTCTACGTCTTCCTATTTAAATAAAAAAATTTATTTAATCAAGAGAAAAAATTTTAAACTGGGAAAATTATGGAATTTACTGGGAAAATAAATTCCGTAAAGGAATTCCTTTAAACACAGTCCACTACTAGATATTACAACCAATACTAGATACATTTTCTAGATAATGGTTGGCCAATAAGTTGGTTAACAAAAGAGGCTCAAATTATTTTGATTCATCCCCCTATTTAATGCCTTCTATTTAAGATACATCTCATTCAGGGCCGTAGCCAGGGGCCCTGAAAAAAGAATCCTGGTTATGGCTAAAAAATACTAAAAATTTACTCGAATTTTCACAAAAACAGCAAAAACAAGCCAAAATAGCCAATGTACTCAACAAAACTAAGGCTACAACACTAGCAACAATTAACGCTGCTTGGAATTGTTTTTGCATTAATTTTTGTTCCTCGTCTAAATCTAAAATGTTTGTTGTTGTTAATGTTGGGAATATTGGGGGTTTGTAAGTAGAAGTTGTTTTGATTGTTTTTGTTGTTGTTGTTAGAGGGTTTAAATATGTTTTTGTTGTTGGTTTTGTCGTTATTGTTGTTATATATTCTGTTGTTGTTGTGTTAATTAATGTTGGATGAGTTGTTGTTGGGGAAACAACAGAAGAAGAAGAGGAGGATATATTAATTTGTTGTTGTTGAATAATTGGGGTTTCATCTAGTTCCTTAGGTGGAAGTCCAGAAGACTATGGAAAATAAAGAAAATAATTAAATAGGAATAAAGTTGTATTTAAAAAGGGATTTAGACATGATTAAAAGCTGCCTTTCTATGGGCATAAATTAAAAATGGGGATTTGGTGATGTGTAGTGAGGGTTCCAAAGGAAGGAGGCTATTATTAGAACAAAAGGCCTATCCAGAGGTAAGGATAGTTGGAAATCTTCGGATATCCGGATCCGACAACCTTACTATCCAAAGGTAAGGATATACAGACGGCCCACTACAAATACCTCAAATACTAGCTAGGTACAGTCAATTTGAAGAAAAGGGTTGGGGAACGGGACTTGTTGTTAGGATAAACGTCATTATAACCCCGAAAGTGAGTATTATAACGAGATCTGCCTCTATTGTTAAATGAGACGAGATAAAACTAAAAAATCACCTCAATATCGTCTTCATCATCCGGATTAAAAGAATCCCCACTTCCCTCATCCATTTCATCATCGATTCCATTTTTATTATTTTCATGCCTTAATTCTCCAACCTCCCCCTCTTCCCAATCAGATTTTCTTTGTGTAGAGGCCAAACAAACAAAAATAAAAATTAAATAGAGCAGAAAAATGACTGAAGAAAATGAAGGGACAAAAGAAAAACAAAATTTTTGACCAAACATTGAATTGGGCTAAAAAATTGGGAAAAAATTATTTTTAAATTAACGAAGAACCTATTAAAGATTATTGCAATAAGTAACGTCTATTCAGTCAACAAAGCCTTTTTAGGATACTTTAAAGTTACTAGAGTTGTTTAATTAAAAGAAGTTAAGAAGAATTATTTAATTTAATAAATTAATATAACCAAAATAATTAATTTTGAGAATTAAAGATGTTGTTAATAAAAAAATACCTTTAAAAATAAAAAAATTAAGAATTTTTACATTTTTTTATATCCACAAATCCTAAAAATCGAAAAACACTTAAAAATTTAAAATTTGTGAAAGTCTCGGTCAAATTAACTTAATTATCGTTGGCCAAAAGTGGGGAAAGAGGAAAGGTGTATGCCAGGGCTGTGACAAGTTACTCGAAATTTGTTCAGAGAATTTTACCTAAATCCAACTCGAAATTTTTCATGGAAGAGTTTCCCATGAAAGGAAGAAATTTTTCTTCCCCCAGTGTTTTCTTCCTCAAATATTATAACTAGATTAAACTCTAAATCGGTAAATAAGATAAAAATTAACTCAAAAAATTATTTTTAACGTTAAAATTCTTTTTCATCAATAGGTGTTAAAAGAAATTTAAAACAAATAAAAAATGTGTGGGGGGATAATGTATGTAATAAATAAATTAACATTTTTTCTTTTATTCATCGTGTCGGTAGCAAAGGCCAATAAAAAAAGAAAATCAACAAATTAAAAAAAATCGACTGGTAGTGGAAAGTTATTTGAAAGGGGGGGGGGAAGAATAAAGGAAGCTAAGGCTAACCACAAATATTTTTTTATTAAAAATAGAGGGGGATAACAACGAGGGGGAGAAGTTGTTGGGGACAAATAAAAACTTGATGAGAAGAAATTTTTGTAGAAATTAAAAAATAAATAAACCAATAAATAATTTAATTGTTAAAATTTTATTTATCAAAAAGAAATTTTAAAAATTGAAAAAAATTGTTGACAGAACATAAAAGTTAATTATCCTCATTAAAAAAAATAATTTCCAAGTCGTTTAGGAAAAGGAGTTTTTGAGTGAGAGATATGTAGTTACGGAAAGAATATAGGAAATTAATTGGATGGGATTAGTGTTTCAAATTTTCAGATTCGTCTAGCACCAAGTACGAGTTTTTATCTCCCAGTACGAGCGTATAAGCACTGGATGGGAGATAAAATAGAATTGCACCTATTCATAAAATATAAATTTTATATATAAAAAATTTTAACCTAAATATAAGGTAAAAGGGTTATTAATTATTCTCTAGTGATAAGAGGTCGGTCGGAAAGGAAAAAGGTGCCGGAAATTGAAACTGTTGGATCGACCTCTGCCCAAAAACAGAAATTTTAGAACAGAATTCTGTGGGAGAGAAAGAATAGCAGGCTGGTTTAAAAAATTCCACACGCTCACATAATATTTTTATTTAATAAAAGAAAGATTGTTAATCTTGCAAATGTTGAAATGTTTAAATAAAAATTAAATTAATCATAAAAATATTTATTTAATGATTAATATATTTAAATAGTGTAAAAAACATTCTTTTCGAAAAATGGGAGAATTTATTTATTGAATTTTTTTACAAAAAAATTCCATTGAGAATAATAGATTAAAACAAAAAAACAAAGTTATTTTTTAACTAAAATCTCTATAAAATTTATTTTTAGTAATTCCCTAAAGGATTAATTCCAAAAAAGTGCCAAACAATTAGTTGGTGCAATGAATAAATAAATAAATTTATTTATTTTTTGTTTTGCACAAAAACACTTTTAAATAATTAAATTTTAAAATGAGGGAGATTATCTTCTTCCCTTCCCTTCTTTTTAATTTCCTCTTTTCCTATTAAAATAAAAAAGAAATTTAGAAAAGCTTATTTTGAAGAAACCAATTAAAAGAAAAATAATTTTAAAATGGTTGAATGATTGGCACATTTTTAATTAAAGATATTAAAAAGACAATCAAAAATAATTTTTTAATTAAAGTTGGGGAGAAGGCAACAAAATTTTAATTTCCCCCTAAAAATATTTTTTTGAAAAATTTCTTTTCGAGAGGGGCATATTGGAGAGTTTTTGCATAAAGCAATAAAATGAAGCAAAATTGGGTACAGTCGAAAATCAGTTTTGAATACCTCCAATTTTAGATAATTCTTCCTTTTTAAAATAGGATTTCCTCAGCACCAAGGGGTATTTAAAACTGAATTCTGACTGTCTCTTAGTGTCTCTCAGCAACCTCCAAATTCGTAAACGTTCCAAGAGGTGGGAGTTTCCAATTGAACAGCTGTTCCCTCTAATATTACGCATTCCGGAAAACAAAACTCAAGTCTTTTTCTATCAATTCTTCCTAGATAAAATTGATCAACTTGGAAAATAAAACCCTAATTAAGTATAGGGCTCCCATGGTACGTAAAGTTAGCTATCGTTAAAGTCATACTACAAATAACATTTAATTAAGCTCATTCAGATTACGAACGGTATTTTGACCGAAGAGGGTTTTAACGAGATTAACTATTTAAAAAGAAGGGAAGCGGAATTTTACATAAAAATTTAAAAAAATATTCCAGAAAAAAACGCTATTTTAAGCAAAAAATAATGAAAAAAATAAGCAAAGGGTTAAGTGCAAACAACGCATATACTACAAGCAACTAACCAACTCTCTTATTTTTATTATTTAGAACAATATAGCTTGTATTTAAAATAAATATTTAAAGTATTTTTACTTGTGTTTTAGTACTACTCAAAACAAACAGAAAAATATCAATGCGCATAAGGGCCAAAAATTAAAAAAATTTTGTCTGAAGAGTGAGAAAAACATGAAAAGAAGGGTAATTTAAGAGAAAAGATAGAGAGAATAAGTAGAGAGAAAAATAATTTTAAAACTTTCCGGAACAGAATTCCGGAAAGAAAACAGAATAAAAAGGCTGTAAATTGAATCCGGAAAATTTGAAAGAAAAGAAGAAACCGGAAATGATCGAAATAGTATAGTAATGGAGGAGAGTATTCTCTAAACTATTCTTTTCTTCTATACTCCACTTTATTTATCACGCTCTGTTTTTATGCTTTGAAGTATGCCTACAATTAATTAAATCCACTTATTAATTTTAATTAATTTATTTTCCAATTATTTTCAATAAAAAACAGAATATTCAAAATAAAATTTAATTTAATTTAAGCTAATCTAAATTACGAACGGTCAAAAAAAGCTTAAAAACAGATAAATGTAAAAAAGAAGGTCAAATAGTTGTAAGTAATGTTGAGAAGCAAACAATTCAGTTTTATGAAAAAGGAGAAAAAAAAGTAAAGCAAAAGTAAATGTTTAACCTTTAGGTAAACATCCCCACACATCTGCGCTATCAAAATATTTAAATATATTAATTTATTTGTTGGCTTTTCAAAATTAAAATACAAAAAGAATATTTAACAGATGCAAAATTAAAAAAAGTTTATTGTGGATTAATTATTCGATTAAATATGTATATTCGCAGGTGCAAAAACCTGCAGAGCGATTTATGCCTAACCCAGTATATCAACTTTTTAAGGAGATTTCAAGTATTATCTCGAGGGAGTTGATATCGTGAAGGTGTGTTACTTGCAGAAAAGGGAAAGACTGATCGAGACTAGATAAGGATCAAAAATTCAGTTATCGATATGAGATTTTTCGAGAGATATCGATCTCGATTCTCGTACTACACTTGCAGTTCGGCGTAGTGACAGAAGACCCACAGACAGAAGACCCAAGGACAGAAGAACCACAGACAAAAGACCCACAGACAGAAGACCCACAAGGACAGAATACCCACAGACAAAAGACCCACAAGAAAAATTTTTTAACTAAAACTTTAGAAAATTTTTTTTTTGAAATTTCTGAAAGAGATTTCCAATTTTTCAAGGCACAAAATTAATTCTAAAGTTAACCAATAAAATTTTTAGCGTTAAATTTTATGGATGAGTGCGATTTAGATAGTGATTTGAAGAGTCTGGTGATTAATTGGGATATGTAGGAAAGCGTGGGATATTGAGAATTTAGGGGTAAGATCTCAACTCCACCGATATCTATTCTTATCCGTAAATTGTGTGTAACAGGAACTAGGAGAAGGAATACTCCTATATCTTTCTTAACCGGTAAATCGGATATGTCAGGGAATTTAAAGGATGTAAACTTTTTACGCTTTTATAATTCCACTAATTCGCTTATATCCACCGCTATCCCTCCATTTACTCTGAAATAATTAACTAATCTCTACTATTCCAAAGATCCCCGATATACTTGCATATCTCCAATACCCTTGATCGCTTATAATCCTTCTATATCCCTCCATGGGACTTAACTAACTCTCGCTATAATCCAGTTAATCCTAAATACCCCTTGATCCTAAATATCCCTTTGATCTACTTTTCCCCTTCATCATCACTAACAAAAAGTTTGGGAATTTTGAAAGACCAAGAAGCCAGATTTCTACTTTTTTGTGACACAGGTGCGAATTCTGAGAATTTGGGAAGGCCAATTAGTTATTTTTATACTATTTTCTATATCTGATTTTTTACACGACATGGACCGGATTTTCCGGAACAAAATCCCGAAAATTCGGGAAATCAAGATCCCTATTCATTAAACAAGCTCCCCGGTAATTGTGACAATAATATACCCATCGTTGGAACAGCTTCACCCGTTGTTGCAATAAGATTCCCCATTGTTAAAATAACATCTCTGTCGTTGGAACAAACTTCCCGATTGTTAGAACAATCTTCTTTAATATTGAAACAACTTTTCCGTTGTTGGATCAATTCTTATTAAGGAAAACAGAACTAACAACATTCCTCGCGCCAAAATTTACAAAAAAAAGTAAACTAAAAAAGTTGTGGGTCTTTTGTCTGTGGGTATTCTGTCCTTGTGGGTCTTCTGTCTGTGGGTCTTTTGTCTGTGGTTCTTCTGTCCTTGGGTCTTTTGTCTGTGGGTCTTCTGCGTCGACACGTGCAGTTCGGTCTCTATTTGAAACTCTCAGATATGAAATTTTCACGTCTGAATAGCAAAGAATAACATTTTACAGTTAGTTAACAGTCTAACAATTTATTCTCTCAGCATTACCAGACTATAATATAAAGCTGAAGGTGTTGAAAGATATAAAGAAAATACATCGACGGAAGGTTTTGCTTTCGTGTTTTGCGTGTTTGTTAAGTTAATATGTACAGATGAATGGGGGGTTGTATACCAAGAAGATCACCACTTTAAAGTGATCATTTTTGGTGTTGATCTTTTGGAATGATTGAAAGAATCACATTAAGCAAGTGAAGAAGCATTAAAGAGAGGAGGAGGAAAGAAGCAAGGAGGAAAGAAAAATTGTAAAAGGACGGCGTTTTGTTGATTCTTTTCTTTTTTTAGTTTTGTAAAAATATATTTATTTATTTAAAGTGTGAATCACAATTTTCGGATCATTCACACAGTCTAAAAGGAAATGAAGAAAATATAAGGAAGGAGGGGGGGGGGGAGGGGGAATTTTTGTTTTAAAAATGCTGCCGATATATTAAATGATGAATAGTTAAAGAAGAAGGAAGAAGAAGAAAACACAGCAGGGGAAGGATGTAAATGGCACAAAACCTCTCATTTTGAGATTTTTATGTTTTTATAGTTGATTGAGGGAGTGGGAAAATGTCAAGGTATGGGAAGGGAAGTTGTTTTGAATGTTTTTCTAAATGAAAAATTGCGTTTTTTTGGAAAAATTTGGATTTTCCTTAGATTTGTAAAAATATTAATTTTTCTTAAAAAATGATAAAAAAGCTAAAAATATTTAATTTAAAAAAATTTTAAGGAAAATATAATTTATTGTTGCGGATAAAAAATTTCCAGAGAGATAGATGAAAAATTGTGTTTTTGGATTCTTAAAATTTAAGAGAATGGTTCCGGAAAGAATTCTGATTTTACAATTCTTCTGGCAAAAATATCTCTCATTCAATTATTAAATATTTTTGGTAGATGGAGAAAACGAGAAACATTTTTAACTCGAAATTCCTAAAAAAGACTAATTTTAGTAATTTATATATTTTTCTTGGTTTTAAATACTAAAATAAATTATACACAAATAATTATTATTTTAGGAACAAAATCTTTTAAACTTTCAGTATTTATGAAAGAAAAAATTGAGGAACGAAAATATCGTTATTTTTGATGGATGGATTCTTGGAATGTAATCCTCACAAAATTACTTTTAGAATTATTAAGTCTGCAAAGAATTGTTGAGAAAAATAGTCAGAAAATTTTTGGGAGAAAGTTGTGGAAAGAAGTAAGTGCCTAATAAAGGAGAGTGCCTGGGGTGTCCGCGAGACTTCGGAATAAAATTTGGTAGAAAGGTAGATCATGCCCTACTTTAGTTGTGAAATTTCCACCATTTCTGCTAAATGGTGCCGGGGACCGAGTTATAAGCCCCTAAGAAAAAGTTGCGGACATATTTGCGGACATTTTAGAAAATAAATGCGGACTTTTAGACAATTTTTTTAAATTTTTCTTTTACAAATAAACTTTGTACTTACTTTCCACCCACTAATTAATATAAAAATTATTTTCACAATAATTAAAGGAATGGCCAATATATATTATTGTAGTAATTAATGGCCAACTGGGAGAAGGCCGAAAATTAAAAGAAACCCCCCAAGAAAATGAAAAATAAGGAAATTGGCATCTTGGTGTGTAGACAATAAAGAAGGGAAGAAAGCAAAATAAGAAAATAAATGTAGTAAAGGTTATGAGAAGGAAGATATGTATAAATAAATAACATTGTAAATTAACCTTATTTTTGCATAATAAAGGAAGAAAAAATAAAACGGGAAAGGATATTTGTGGGCTGCCTGGGATATATTAAATATAAATAAATTTTCTACTTTTTGAGTTGATTTATAAAATATTTAGACAATAATTTAGTAAAATAATTATCAAAGGATAAGGAGACATAAGTTTTAAAAATCAGTAGGGTCAGAATTTCTGAAGCTAGTTGTGTTCGCAAATGTGCGTCCGCAAATACCTTGCGACAGAAAAATAAATTTATGATTTAAAATTAAAAAAAATAATTTCAGAGAAATATTTTCTCTAAAATAAGCCCTTTTTTGCCTATTTTAAAGGTATATTTAAATAATAAAAACAAAAATATATTCAAAACGATTAAATTTCTTTCTCGATTTTCTTTGCTCGATTGCCCTTCGTTGAAATGCGCAGCATAACTACTAAATTGTGGAATGATTGATGACCGATATATATTTTGTATTTATTGAATGATTTGAATTTGTGGTTATATTTACAAATGGCCTTGACTAAAGTTGAAAAAAATAAGGAAAGAATATATACGGGTTATGTAAAACCTTTAAAAAGAGTAAAAAGATTCAATAAGGAAAAAGAAGAAAAAGGGATCAATCTGATAAGTTGTAGATAGAAATTGCCGGTAGAGACTTTTGTAGGGATCAATAGAAAATCTTAGTCTTGATAAAGAGATTTTTAATCGAGGTTTCTGATCTCTTTTTACTGTAAATTCTAGAATAATTTCTTTTCAAGCTCTCGCTGTAGGGGGAGGAGGGGGAGGGTAATTAATTGAAGGAGAACAATTATTTCTAGAGAGGGTAATTAATATTTTTTAAATTTACTGTACTTAAAGTTCTGCCGCGTTTTTGTCGGCATTCTTTTTTAAAATTAATTCCATTTTCCTGGAAATATTTTTGGAAACCATAAATATCAAAATAATTAAATAAAGTAAAAGTTTATTAGATTAAATTAAAAGTGAAATCATTTAATTAATTACTTGAAGGGATTAAAAAATTAAATAAAATTATTAAATTAATTTTTAACTCGCATCATAGTAAATAATTCTAAAAATAATTTAAATAATATCACCCTCGTCATTTTTAATTTCTGAAAGTTTCGGAAAAAAGGAGAATAGATTTTTGTGCCAAATGGAGATTCAGGCTACGAGAAGTTGCGCTTGACGTTTTGAAAGGAATGAAGTTATGGCACTCACCCCTATTTGAAGACGGAGGTCAAAAATTGGAAAGGTCAATCATAAAAAGACCAAGAACCAATTTCAAAATTTTTTTAAAATTTCATTAAGAGGAAACAGGAAAAATAACCAAATATAAAATTTCAATTAAAAAATACTTTTCCCAATTAATTTTTAAAAGGAAATGTTTTATTAGGAAGGAAAAGCCATATCATCAAAAATAAATTTTTTTTTCAATTTTTCATTAAAAAATACTCTCATACCAAAAAATATACTTATAGACTATCCCATTTCAACTAAATTTTAAAGGCAAAATTAATGTAAAAAAAAGAATGGCTTCCGTAATTTGCATCTCTCGAAAATAAAATCCCTTCCCCCTCTTCTCCCACTCATTTTATATTCTTCATTATCATTTTCGACGGCCTTTTAAACCTTTAAAAAGCTCACAAAAATTCAAAAAAATAAATAAAAATTCTGACAAAAAATGAGATTTTCAATTGCTTTGATTGTTTTTGCTTTTATTTTGGTTATTTTTAATTGTGTTGAATCTAAAGATGAGGGAGGGAATCAGGAAGAGATTGAACAGCAATACCAAAATAGAAGACTTAGATCGTTGGCAAATGGCCGATGGCAGTTGAGGTAATTTTAAAAGAGAAAACTGAAAAATATAAAGGATCCTTTATTTAAAAGAAAATCTTTTAAAAATATTTTGTTCCTAAAATTACCTTTAACCTAGTCCTCCTCAGGTAGTTTAGAAGATTTCGATGTTTTATTTAACAGTCCCCCTCATTTGAAAAAAACATACCGAGAAGTAATTAATTCAAACTATGATATCCAGAGCTATAGTCATATCTAGAGCTACACTATTATATCAAGAGCCCGGATTTTTATAGATAAAGACATTATAAATTTCTCCATGAAAAACACTATCACTTTTTGTTTTAAACATTTTAGAATGGGGTTTCTATTAGTGATCGGACTGGGAGGGCCGTATGAGAATCTAGATCCGATAAATTCTCGATCTCGATAGCCATGATTTTTGATTGAAATTCGTCTTAATCCGGTCTCTAGTTTCTATTATTTGCTTATTGTTTTCAATTTTTTACTATTTTAGACCTGGAAAAAGATTCGTACCACAAAATTATTACTATCAAATGATGCTCGATAATTAATTAATTGCCAATGAGAAAAATTAAAAGAATGAGGAAAAGGAAGAGGAAAATACTTAAATTTTTTTGTTTTTATCACAGAGATTAGCAATGAATTAAGACAAAAGATTCTTGAAAAATAAAATATTAAGTTGTCGAATAAAATATATGTAAAACAAAACAAGTCGGGTCTAAAAAGCTGAGAACTTTCTCTGCCGTCTCTTCTTTTTCTACACTATTTTACTCATCCTCTAAATAATTTTTTTTTCATTGTTAAAGTTTTATATTAAATAGATTTTCCTCCATCATTTTTAGATTTTTTCAATTTTTTAGATTAAATTCACTTTAAAAATAGATTTTCGTAAAATATTTTTTCAAAAAATTTCTTAAAATTTATTTTTTTAAACAATTGTGCTTTTTGATTCTTGAACCAACCTAAATACACAATATGGTCAAAAAATAACTATAAAATCGCCCTTTCACATCCCAGCTGTTGTCACACAAACTTTTTTTCTTTTATCAAGTGAATACTTGCCAACTGACTAGAATTCCATTAAATAAACTAATCGAATTCTTTAAAAAATTGTTTCCAAAAGAATTTAAATCTTGTGGATTTTTATATATTTAACCTGTTTTTTTTATTAAAGTGACGAAAATATTTTTTCCCTTTTTATCCTCGTAACCAAAATTCCCCATACTTCACACATTCCTCAATTGTTCCTTTGCCAAATTCTCACATTCGTGAAAAGAATTATCCGAGAATGGAGGGAGGGGGATTTTCCCCTTATTCTTGTCTCTTCCGCTATACTTAGCCCGGCTTTCGAAAGATAAGCAACGGAAAAAGGGTTAGCTCCAAGTTTCTTCGTTATATGCCAAATTTCCCGTTATCGGAAATTCTGGGAGAAATAGAAAAGGGTTGGACTTCTTTCTTTTGTTTTGCGAAAAAGCTTCATTTTTTATCGTAAACTCAACCGAATTTCGTACACGAGCTGAAAAATTTGTGGTGTCATTCTATTATTAGAGGGTGTTATTGTAATTTTCGATTTTTCTATATTTGTTTTTGCCTTTTCCAAAAACAAATTAAACGATTTTCTTTTAAGAACTGCCATATGTGAACTAAAACTAATTAAATTATATTTTTCTTTGTTAGAACAAACGACCTTGCTCGTTATCCCTTTAACCGGTGTTTATTCAAAAGCAAAAACAATATTTATATGGAAAGGAATTCGATATTTATGAACCAAATAATAAAAATTGCGGTTAAATAAATAAATTATTGGCATAATGTTTTTTTTATTTAATTAACAAAAAAAAGCCGGAATGGGCTCATCTCGTCAATCCCGAAACCCTATTTTTTGACCTAACTTTTTTAATTCTTAGCCGAGTAAAAATAAAAAGCCCGAGCAGAATCGATCTAACCGAATCATTAAAAAGTTTCACCTGAATAGATAAGTGAGCGCGTAACAGCGAGAGACTTGGGTGTCCCTTACAAAAGTTATCCTTTCTCTTTTTGTTTACGTGTCCTCCAAAACAATTTTGTTTTGCAGATAAAATTAATTAATTAAAAAGAATGGGAGAACGACGAATTGACGTAAATAGAAGTAACAAAAGTGTTGTGGACTCAGAATTTGATTCAATGCGCGATCGTTTTGAGAATGAAATGCGTCGTGTTGATGAAGAAATGCAGGTTATTTTTTAGCTTATTTTAAATAAAATTTTAAATTATTTTTAGCGTTTACGTCAAGAATTTGATGGTTATCGCCCAGCTGGGTCGCGTACTTCTCCACTTCCACAACAACGTATTTTTTAGTTTTTATAGGGCTTTTATATACCTTCCCTAGTTTATACCCAATTAATAAGAAGTTATTAGGACCTCAAATTGGGTTCTTAGGGGACTCAACTTTCATATAAAAATTGTACTTATAATTAGATGTCCTAAATAGGTAATATTGTTTTTGAAAGTCTCAACGAAATTTTAAAGCCTACCTTAAATTGGGTGTTATTTTATAGCTGGGCCTGGACCAATGCCTGGATTTTTCTTGTACCAAGAGTTCAGGCCCAGGCATTTTTTACCATCATGGGGTTTTCCTGGACTACAGGCCCAACCGGCCATGGTCAATAAATCAAACCCAGAGTTCAGGAATAGGCCCAGGCCCTTCAAAAATCTGGATCTCTAATATATTGTTGGGATAATTTTCAACCTACTTAAGGATAACCTCCTTTTTCTACTTTTATTCAAAAAAATTTTCTAGGTCTAGGCAGTACTTACAGCACTTCTTCACCAGCTACAGGTGGCACTCTTCTCTCGTCTCGTCCAATTTATGATCCTTACTTCGATAATTTGAAAAGTCCGCTTATTAGAGATGAAAGTGATGGAAAATCTTTGAGACTTCGGTTTTTTGAATTTATCTTTTTAATTAAAATTCCTTTCAAGTTTTGACGTTTCTCAATACAAACCAGAAGAAGTAACTGTCAAAACTGTGGATAATCGTTTGTTGGTTTATGCTAAGCACGAGGAAAAGAGTCCAAGCCGAACAGTTTATCGTGAATATAATCAAGAATTTATGCTTCCGCGCGGCACTAATCCGGAAATGATAAGGTTAATAATTGTTTGAATTAATCGGTTATATTAAAGAATAAAGTACTGGGCTAAACAAGCTTGGGACGGTCTAATCTACATTTGAAGTCTAAATTTTCCAAAAATTCCTAATTTTTAATTTTTTTAAAAAGATTCGGGATCTTTTTAAAAAAATTTTGTGAGGATTCCATTCGGTACAGGTCCCAACCTTTCTTGAATTTGGCAGTTCTTTTCAAAACTATACATAAATACTCATTTTATATAATTTCCGGCCGTATCTGAAAATAATGCTGCAATCATATTTTTTCCTTCATTTTTTCCTTTCCATATTTTTCCTTATTTTGTACAGAAAGGTCAGACTTTTTCACTCGTTCACTTCCAATGAATTTCCCTGTGGCATGTTCAAATGTAATTATAGAGAAAAGATTAAAAGCAAAAAATAAAAAATATTACATTTTTGTGTTGTAAAACATGGACAGACAAAACACGGACGAAGACGGACAAAACATACGGACGAACACGGGCAGACAAAAACTGACGGACTCGGACAGAAAACACGGACGGACTCGGACGGACACTCGGACAGTTTTGACAAAACACGGACGAACTCGGACAGACAGCAAAACACGGACGGACACAGACAAACGGACGAACACGGACAGACAAAACACGCACACACATCGGACAGAAAAAAGTAAATGCTCACAAAATTGAAGAAAAATAATCTATGTATTGCGCTTATATTTAGTCTTAAGGCACAAATCAGAATAGAGAGAAAAATATGAGAAAATTAACCATTTTTAAGAATAAGGAAAAAATATGATTGCAGCATTATTTTCAGATACGGCCTAATTTCCTCATCTTTTTAGCTCTACTCTTAGCACCGATGGAATTTTGACTGTTGAGGCTCCTTTGCCACAATTGGCTATTAAATAGAGGAATAAATTTGAGGAAAATGAATTTTATGGAGATAGTCCCAAAAATGTTTTGAGCCTTTTTTCGGTATTTTTTTTAAATTTAAGTTTCCAACAATAGCATTTTTCAAAAAAAAAAGCTCAAAATAAAAATCCAAATAACCGTGCATAATCAAAAAAAAAGTTTGTTAGAATTTAAAGAAGCCTTTTTTTACTATTATCCCCTTTCCATTGGCTAACTTTTTATTTTCATACTTAATTCTTTATAAAGTCCCAAAAATAGAAAATTCACAAAATACTTAAAAACAAGCATATTCTGCTGCCATTTATGCAATTTGTTAAAATTTTAAAGGTGCGAATAAATTAGTTTTATGTTTTCTTTATTCTGATTTTTGTTAGGATTTTTTGGGGAAATTAAATAAGGTAATGATTTTGATAAAAATTTGTAAAAGAAAATCTTTGGAGAGAATTATGGGCATTTTATTCTTTTTTAGGAAAAAGTTCTTGGCAGGGAGGTGGGAATCCTCTTAATGTTTTCTTTTGATTTACAACATCTCTGGCTGTCTCCACCTCTAGTTCCTAGATTTTAATGAATGGGCTATTGATATGGCCCAATTTCTAATATAAAGAGAAAGTATTTTTTGAGAGGAAAGTATTTGATAAATTGCTAGATCAAAATCTCCTATTTTGAGAATGAGTTTTCTGATAATCATTTGTTGTTAATGAGTTTGTCTCTAATTCATCAGCTATAGAATGATGATTGCACTGATTAAATTTTTTGTTTTTCCGAAGATGAAGAAATAAATGCATTGTAGAGAATAAAATGAGAATCTGAAAAAGTGGGAGGTTTTAACTGAAATTAAGAAACAGATTTAATGACTCTGCATTCAAAAAACAAACGCCAATCTTGCGTTAATATTTGAAAGGGAATTAGGCCCGACACAGAATTTACGTAAAATGGAGCGGTTGTTCATCAAATTCCACATTAGGTGATCAAAACTGTCTTCAGTTGAGATAGGGGTTTTCGATGGAGATCTCTCATAATCGAGGGAGAAGTCTCACCTAATGTTCGGCAAACAAATTATTCTCGATATTAATAATATGTTGGTAATAGTTTGTGAGTTTGTGTCGAACACTAGTTTCAACACAAACCCTTTTTTTAATTTTTATCATTTATAAAATAATTTACCTCAAGTATTCCAAGCAATAAAGTTAATAATTTAGTAATATGTAAATGTTGAAGTAACCAATCTGTAAAAGGCCCGACACACCCCTAAATAAAAAATATTATCCAAATTAAAGTAAATTATAAAAAACCTGTTTATAAATAATTTTGTCAAAATTTTCTAAACTTTTTCCACAATTTTGTGTATGATTGAATAAATCGAGATTAAAAGCTTTTAGATTACAGCAGCTGTCAGGTACGAATTTTCTTCCCTTCCAGTCTGGATAGTAAAACCAATCGGAATGAGAAATTGCGCCACAACAATTTAGCTAGAATAAAAAATTAATAGGAACTCATTACAAAATCATCTTTGGTACTAAAATGGGGGTAATGAGAGAGAAATTTAAATTGATGGTATCGTTTATTGTTACTTATTAACGAATTCCTTATTAATTCCTTATTAATTAACTTATTAACGAACAATTACTAACGAACAAAATTCCTTATTAATTCCTTATAATTCCTTATTAACGAACAAAAATCCTTTTGATCGGTTAATTCTGCCAGAATTATTTTTCAAACAAAACACATGGGAAATTACTTAAAATAGGTGTCTATAAGTTTCTCACAAAACAATTTAAAAAATATTTAAAACTAACATCACTCTGCATTTGTGCCCAAGCATTCCACAAAAGATCGGCATTTGGATTGTCTCCATAAGTTAAATTTATTGTATGCCGAAGATTCAATTTTGCATATTCATAAACACTTTCTTTATATAAAATACCCATCAAACCAGCAATACATTGAATTATAAAAAGGAGAAGAACAAAACAAAAATACTTAAAAAGTAAAATTTTAAAGTTTAAAAATTTTGTCCGCAAAGTTCATCCGCAAATAATTTTCTGTTTGAGAATTGAGGAGATTTTGGATGGTAAATTATTTCACGCCTTTATTCAGTATTCAGCTAGATTTTGGACGTATTTTGAAGTATTTTGGCCAAAAACTGCAAAATTAAATTTGCGGACAAAACTTGCGGACAGAAAATAAATATAAAAAAATCAAACCGAAATAATTAATTTACTCGAAGTAAACCAAATTCCAGCAATTCCAACAAGTGAAATAATTAAAACCATTGCACCAACAGCAGCACAGAGACCAGCTGCGGACATTGACTAAAATTTAAATTAAAAAAATAATTTTTTAAAAATTAAAAAAACCGAATAGCTGCTAGGCGCCAAAATTGAATAAATATTTTTCTGTAAATAAAGCCATATTCCTGCAACTAAAGCACCCCATCCAAATGCCTTTAAATTTAAAAAAATGAAAAAAAAAATAAAAATTCAAACCCAGAAAATAACGTTTAAAAAAATAAAAATTTGTCGTTGCCGGCGAAAATCAAAATAAATTGACATTTAGTAGAAAAGTTGGGAATTTATTAGAAAAATAGTAGATAATTAATTAGTAAATAATAATTAAGAAAAATAGTAAATAATTTTATAAAATTAAAGCAAAAAATAAATTAACAACAAAATGGCCAAATTGAAAAGTAGAGAGAGCCCACTTCGGCGCCGACAACGTGAGACATGTGGTATTTTCCCATTTCATTTAAATATTAAGGCTGTCAATTAAAAACCCCCTCATATTATTATCAATCTACGTTCCGTTTTTTTTTGGTTGATAGGGATGTTAAGGATTTCCTTGGAGGGGATTTTGGATGGAGGAGTAATTAGGACTACATCTAATGTTGAAGTGGATGAAAGATTAAAACATTAAAAGCTTTGAGTATTTGTGAAGAAATTTGGGGATTAATTGGAACTTGAAAATCGAATATTTACTGTATAACCTTATTAATTGCCCTCCCTAAAATAATTACCCTACTTCTATTAATTTCCCCACCCAGCGATAGATTAAAACAATAATTACCCCCATCAAATGCCCTAAAACACGTTCAAATTTTAAACCTCGTATAATTACCCTCCCTCGATTAATTACTCCCTCCAGCGGAAGGTCGAAACAATAATTACCCAGGGTAGTTTTTAAAGGATCTGCTTCTGGGAATGACTTCCTCTCCATAGGTGGCAAAAACTATTTTTCGCTCTTACAGAATATAAGAGGTCACAACAAAGTTTATCCAAACACCACTGTTTGTGGTGTTGAATTTGGTTTTATTCAACGAAAAAATAAAGGAAATTTCTGCCAAAGCCCTTTTACGAACGATAGAACTCTCCAAAATTTTTATTAAATAAAAAACAATTTATTGCAATTTAATTATTAAAAAGTGAATATATATTTGTGTGTGTGATTATAATATAATTAATTAATTTATTTGCTTATATAATAGCTTCTTCTCAATTATTGACTAGCCACCTTCTCTACACTTTTCCAAATTCAAATAAATTCCTCTTGAAGTCGTTCATAATCTTTTTTCCCCAATTTTTGTCGAATACTTTCTGCCGCTCTAATAATATCTTTTTCTTGAAATTCTTCCATTGTTGGGGGGCTTTTAACTTGGACTGTGTGGTAAAGACTTCTTTTTGAAGAGGAAAACTTCTTTTTGTAAACATAGCGAATTATAGCTAATATTAAAGTTATTAAACTTAAATAAAATCCAATTTTGACGGCCAATTCGAGTTTCCACCAATTATCGCTTTCTTTGCTGTTGTTAATGCCAACAAAACGGAATAGATATGTGGATTCTTTAAAAAATTTTTTTTAAAAATGGATTAATTTTGGGGAAAGAAAATTCCTTGCCTTCGAGTAATTCTTGTTTCAGAAGTAAAAAAGGAAGAAACCTCATTCACATAAATTTTCTTTCATAAAATCCGGGCTATAGTGGATTTTAAATAAAGACACGGGGAACTTTGCTAGCGTTTGGACAACGGCAGGATTCTGATTAGGTCTTTCTGGCCCTGTATTATTTGATTTGCGCCACCAGTGATGGGCTGTTTAAGCTATACCTTCAGTTTTACACCCTTATTTCATTTTTAGGGGTTAATCGTGATTATTATTTTAACAAGTTTGATGTTGTATTATTCTAGTAGTGAAATAACAGTAATTAGCTTTCAACTCTAATTAAATACCCAAAATTATACCAGAAGGAAAAGCCATTGTTATTTTCTTCCATAAATCTCCATTTGCTTGTTGTTGTTGATTTTGTTGTTGAATTTTCCTTTCGCTAAGTTGTCGATGAAATATTTTTCGAATATTAATCATTTGGGCACATTTAATTTCAAAATCCCGATTATTTCCAAATTCTCTCCATCCAGTTATACAAAATTCACACTTTAATCAATATAAAAAATTTTTTGTCCTCAATTTCTTATTTTTTACCTGAACATCTTGATCGGACTGACAAGGCTTCTTTTCGCTGTAATAAAGAAATAAATTTTACCGATACAACGGCACAACGTTTATAACGAAATTAAAAGGACATTCATTCACTTCAATTGTTATTATAACCTGAGTTAGGTTTTATACCCCCGAGCTCTATATTATTAATATTTGAAAAACAAATGACTCTACACATGACCACGGAATAAAGGTGTTTTGCTGTTATAGAGATTTGGCTTTTGACTGTACATTATACATATAGAGATTTGGCTATTTTACAAGATTTTGTATACTAAAAGAATAGACAAGTTAGCCAAACACAAGATTTTAATCTTCCTATAAACCCAGTTAATAGAGATAGTATGGAGGTGTCCCGTTTAAAATTAGCCGGTTATCTCGATCGAGATTTCTCAAGAGAGATATCAATTAAGTATTTCAATTAATCCTCAATTCTTCCAATTTTAAAATATTAAAAGACAAAAACCAACAATAAATATTTTCCACAAACAGAGCATTGTTTGCAATTTCCTCCATTTGAACGAAATTGCCCTTTCGGGCAAACTGTCGGAGGTTGCCAATCTGCAACATTTTCTAAAGGAAATTCTTCTCCCTCATCTTCTTTTTCTACAGAAGTTTCTTCTGAGAATGAATCGCTTGAAGAAGAAGAGGAGGAAGTTGAGGAGGATGCTGATAATGAATCTTCTTTTATTTCATCAGCAGTTTCAATAATAAAATAAGGAGAGGGATTAGAAGAAGAAGATTTAATTATTATTATTTGTTGAATTAATAAAAATAAAATTATTTTTGATAAAATTTTCAATAAAATCATTTCTTTCCTTTTCTCTGAAAAAAATTTTAGGTAAGGTTTAATAAAAGTTTTTAAAAATTATAGGAAATGGCACGTTGAATGTGAAGTAAATAAAAATTATCGGTATGTAGTAGACCCCATAAATCATCTAATAGAAGCAGAAAAAATAGAAGCACATATGGTTCAATTAGAGGATTTACACTAATTAAAGTATTAGGTTTCACTAAAGGAGACCTTTTCTTTGATATTTAGAGGTCTCAAAAATCGAGATTTTTTACTTGGAAGCACAACTATCGAAATTTAAAAACAAATTCGAAAATTTATTGGGAAATTATTTAGATTATTATAAAGTTAAAGCAAAAATTGAGAATTATTTAAAAATTTCAGAGATTTATTAGAATTTTTATTGTAGCTGCTATGCGCCGTAACATCCCCCATTGACAATTACTAAATGAAAAGTAAAAATTAAAAATGACAAAATTTTCCGTTTTTCTTAATATTTTAAAAGCTAATAAATAAAATAAAAAAAGTAAATACTGATAAGAAAAAAAGTGAAAGGAAGGAAGTGTTGTATCAGTAAAAATTGTTTATGCCTACAAAATTTTTTTTATCAAAAATTAAATAAATATTAATTAATTTATTTTTGTTTTTTATTTAAAAAATTAAAAAAATATTATTTAATGACCCCCTTTAGAAAATAAAATTTTAAATGAGGGTAACGAGGAAAGTTTTGGAGAGCATAAAGTTTGAGGCTGTTTAGTGGGATTAATAATGGATATACAAAAATATCCCCACTGACGTTATAATTAGAGAGAAGTCAGACCTAACTGCAAGATACACTTAAATTTAAAATAATTTCTTATAAAATATTAGCCAGGTATTTTTAATTTAGTGAAGCGACAATCTCTATTTAAGCTACACCTTCTTATACATACATATGATATGTATGAATTGTTCCGTCTCAGGTGTGTATTGAAGGATGAGATTTAATTAAAGTATTATTTCTGATTTTAAAGCCCCTTGCTTCATTAGTAAAATAATTAAAATGAAAAGATAAAGGTAATTTAATAAAAAAATAATTGCTTATTAAAAGCCAAAAAAAGCTTAAAATAATTTTTATAAAATTTTTGTGATAAGAAAAATTGTCATTCATTCAGAAAGAGATTGACTGATATATAAAATTAAAAGAAAAAATATGTCAATCTAAAAATATTAAAAAAAGCCAAAAAATGAATAAAATGGAAGAAATAAATTAATTGGCCAAAGAATATTTTTAAAGTTTTTTTTTGTTTAATAATTTGGGTAAAGAACTGTTTTATTTATTTCAAGGAGAAAATAATTGCGCATAACAAATTAATGTGTGTTTTGCTTTTTTAAGAATAAATAATTTTAAATAAAACAAAATTATTATTTTTTTAAAAATAAATAAAATCTTATGTCACCTGTTATGAAGATGATTATAGAAATAATTAAAGAGGGCATGTGCAATTATTTAAGGGTTTTTTTTGAAAAGTGCGTCTAAAATAATTTATCTTCTATAAGGTACAAGGAAATTTTTTAACAGAGTTCTAAATCAGCTAGTTTAAGTTCTTTTTTCGATACTTTTGTAGTTTACATCCCATAAGCTCGTACTCTTTTATCTCTTCTTTTTCTTATAAAATCCCGTAAAAACTAAAAATAACTATAATCAATGGAAAAAAAACTAACTAAAATCAAAATAACTAATCAACTCTGTATAATTAAGAAAAAACATCCATAATATGATTCGATATAATGTGTAAAAGGAGATTTGATATAAAGGATGGTCATATAGGGTTAGACTTTGATTAATTAATAATCATATTAATGAACATCACCGAATCGAATTTGTGAATATATTGATGAATTTTTGTTCAGTCATTCAGCCAAAATCACCACAATTATGTTCTTGTTGCTACATTGAATGGGATTAACAATTTGGTACTATACGCCAAAGAAGGGCGGAATCATTTTTTCTTCCTTCTTCCACAAGCTCGAAATGGCAAATCTTCCTTATTATTCCTCATATATGTAATTTATTAACAATTCACAAATTCATTAAGTCAAATAATATCCATTTGAGTAAAAAATCCAAATAAAATCCATTTTGAGTTTATTGCCTTTTGCCATTAGGTAATTTGACCTTATTTTGAATTTTTGTTCTTTTATTTTCCTTCTTATTAATTTAAAATCAGTTGATTTCAAGTCAGTCGATGAATGAAATTTAAAATTTTTTAAACAAATTTAAAAATAAATATTCGCGACAAAATAGGATAAAATGTCCGTATTTAAAATATTTTTGGCATAATGTTTTTTTTACTTTTCTTTAAATTTTGTTCGAATTTGCTTTTCACTAGCTGTTTTTAAATTTATTTTATATTTAATTTAATTATTTTTAAGTTTAAACTTTCTCAAATTTGAATATAAATTTCTATTTTATTTGTTATTTTCTTCAAAAAATGGGAATTTCTGTTGAAAAGCCTGAAATTTTGGTTAATCCTTTTTCTCAAATGGAGACCGCGCTTGAACATAAATTGCGTAATCTTAAAAAGCGGGAGGTAAATTAATTTTTTGGGAGAATATAGAGATTAAAGGAAGTATTTTAAATTGATGTGTATCCAGTATCGGGTATATCTTTTGCCAAAGGTTTGGCACACACTCCATTATAGAACCCCTGAAATCACCCCCTAATAAGCCCTTTTGTATTTGATATTTTCTGCTTATCTTTCTCTTTTCTTTTTCAGTTGCGTCTTCAACAACTTAAAACCGACAAAGAATCTGGTGCTTTAAAATTGGATTCCAAACAGATTGAGGCTCTTTCTAAATTGGATGAAGTTAAATTGCAAATTGCTTCTATTGAGGATTTACAAAAAGTTAATGCTAAACAAATGAAGGACTTTAAAAAGTTTGTTTTTTATTTAAAAGTATTTTTTTGGGTTGGCTAACATTTAGAATGATTAGGCTCGGGTTCAGATCTGTAAAAGGGAAGGGAAGTTAAAATTAGAGTTGTTACCTGGGGAAAGAAAACCATAAACGTATAGTTGGGGGTTTGAAGAAAACTGGGCGAGAGGTGGTAATTCCTTCCGTTGAGGACTGGGAAAAAATGACCTTCCCGTTTAAATGTGGACAGGTATCAGGTGTTATTCTGTACCTGTTGTTAACCGGTAGAGCATTGTGACCGATGCTCCTAGCAATATTCGCCCAAAGTCGGCCGGCAATGTTTCCCTTTCCCCTTTTTCCTGGCTACGGGTCTGCCTGTGGCTATCTTTTCCTTCACTTACTATTTCATATGTCGGATTTTTTAATTATCCCTTCTTTATCAGTTTATTTCAAATTTTGTGTATTAATCTGAAAACATTTTTTGATTATTTCATGGACCAATAGCTCCTAGAGAAAATTTAACAATTGTTCTTTAAATTAAAAAAATATTTTTAGGGCTCTGAAGACTTATGAACGTCAAATCATCAAGACTTTAAAGGATGCTCGTTCACAAAATAGTACACCTTCGGAACTGACAGAATCTGTCCAATCGCAAACTCCAGATGATTTGTTGGGTAAGAAGGAGGAAGTTGAAGGAGAGAAGGAAACTGTTGCTGTTGTGACTATTTTGAAGAAGGAAATTGTTAAAGAAGAGGTTTTGGTTTAAATTTTGAAGGTTTGGAAAGAATTTTTGTTGAAAAAATTTAAAGACATTTTGGTGATTTTAGAGAATAGTCTTTGTTGTTTTTCATTTTATTGTCAAAATATTAATTTGAAATGTTAATTTTGACTTTAATTTGATTTTTCTAAAATATCTTCAAAATAGATTTAGCCAAAAATTTAAATGAATTTGAAAAGAAGTTTAATCAAATTTTATTTTCTTCTAGCTATATTGTCAGTGGAAATGATAAATATGGGGAGATTTTTAACTACGTTAGAAAATTCTTTTTTTAACAGTTTCGTCTTTCTTGGTTTGGCCAATGTTGAACATCCATTGACAAACTTATTGGTTCGAAGTCTGGATTTATTGGCTTATCCAGCAACAGGGATGGAACGGTTTCCTCAGCAAATTAAATTTTTCACCACAATTACGGAGGTTTCCATTGCTAGAGAATCCAACCGACGCAGGTTGCGTACCCATTAAATCATTATATTGATGTTCAGCATGTGCCAATCCCAAAGAGGCAATCTGTAAAAAAGAAATTTGATTTTTACAACTTTAATGTAAAAACTTGATCGAATTTTACTCCGACGTACTTATTATTTCCGCTGAGAGACTTCTCACTACGAACTATTGAAGTTTGGGTACTTTTTTTGTCCGAACTCATATATTCGCAAGTAGTAAACTTGCATTTTTCGCCATTTGTATAATACATATAATCCAATTTTCAAACGAAGTCTCTCAGCGGAAATAATAAGTACGTCGTAATAAAATTCGATCAAGTTTTTACATTAAAGTTGTAAAAATCACATTTCTTTTTTACAGATTTGCCTCTTTGGGATTGGCACATGCTGAACATCAATATAATGATTTAATGGGTACGCAACCTGCGTCGGTTGGATTCTCTAGCAATGGAAACCTCCGTAATTGTGGTGAAAAATTTAATTTGCTGAGGAAACCGTTCCATCCCTGTTGCTGGATAAGCCAATAAATCCAGACTTCGAACCAATAAGTTTGTCAATGGATGTTCAACATTGGCCAAACCAAGAAAGACGAAACTGTTAAAAAAAGAATTTTCTAACGTAGTTAAAAATCTCCCCATATTTATCATTTCCACTAAGAGAATTTATTTTAAGATAAATATTATTTTTAATAGAGATTGATCAAAATAAAGTTTAATGCGACTTTTCCAAATTCAATTAAAATTTCGGCTTAAATCTAAATGAAGTTATTCTAGAGAAATAAATTAAATAAAAATAAATTTTTGACTCAAATTTTAATTTCGAAAAAAATTGCTTCTTATTGCTTATGTCAGTAACACTTTATTTTTGGATCCTCTAATGATCGTCACCTTTTGTCATTTGACAGCTAGTAACTTTTAGGATAATTACTAAGACAATATCATAAAACCGTTAAAATGTTAGAACCATTTACCCTTTTTATAAAACGTCTATGTTGTCAAACGTTATAGTAAATTGTCCACCTTAAGCTACTTCTATTACACCAAATCTTCACCCTCTATTATCAGCTGCTTGTTTTTTATTTCTCTTTTGTCCTCCTATCCGTTCTCTAACCTTGCGACCAACATTAACTCCAATCACTTCACCTATGGGTAAACCGAAAAGTAGAGGGGATAATTTCAGGACAGTTAGCCTATATGTAATTCAATACAATGTTAATAGCCAAGACCTAATGATCATTTGTCAATTGTGCCAATTTTAATATTTTAGGAATTGATGCGTGCATTAACTGTTACATCACAATGAATTCTCTTCCATTATCATAGATGGAAGAGTTACTTCTTCCAATCTTCACTCATTTATCCAAAATAAATATTTTTATTTATTCCCTTTAAGCATCCGTTGTTCCCGTCAACCCCTCTCTCTCTTCTCACGCTGTTGCTGCTAAATAACTCTGCTAACTTCAACATCCGCCCATCCCTTCAATAAACTAAAGCAGCAATATCACCAGCCAGTCACCGCCCTCCTTTTTTTCTTCCCTCCTCATTTTTCTCTTTTATGTATTTATTTATTCCTCTATTCATTCCCTCGCCAAATCAACGCAGACTGACTAAAGTAAAAATTGTTCGGGTGGCGGCTCATTTTCGAACAAAGTTCCGTCGCCTCCACAAATACGATAGAGAGATATTATATAACACGCACTAGCATTTTTATATTTTTTTTCTCATTTTCAATTTCCCTCTAGTCCAAGCAAATGAAAGTTAAAAGTCTGCTCGGTCGGTTGGCCATTTCGAGGAGGGAGAAAAAAAGGCGGAGGAATGCGGCCAAAGATATGTGGTAATGATTGAAAAAGATGATAGGGGTAAAGGAAGGGGAAGGGATGGCCTAGAGTCGAGTGAAAACTCTTTTTAAATGATGATGATGAGGGGCGCATAGCAAGCAAAAAATAAAATATATAATTTACAACATTCCTCCTATCTGTCCTTTTTTAATGGTTTTATTTTAATAAATGAAAGAATTATATTGAATCTCTTCATTTCCTCTCCCTTTTAATTTTCCTCTAAAATTTTATTTTATTTTTTAATAATTTTAAAATAATTTTTAATTAATTTTTAGAGTTAAGTTTCGATATCCAAATCTCGTTTGGCTTTTTTTAGCATTTTCTGAACATTTAAAGTTAACGAGATATATAGTAGATTTAAATAAATAGAGAGTTTAAGCCCTCCCTCAAGTTTAATCACTTAATCAAGTAAATAAATCTTTATCTGGCTAAATAAATTCTCTCATGAGAATATCCAAATCTCATTTGACATTGACTTCTTGTTCTTCCCATTTTTAAGAAGAATAATTTAAAAACTTGGCGCAAAAATTCCTTCTTCGGATAAAAATATTATTCCTTTCCGTCGTTCGCTTTTAATCTTAATAGATTCTAGTATATAACGTCTTGATCCACTTATTCGTATAAAATTCAATTTTTGAGAAAAAAAATTAAATTTAACGCTAATTTAAGGTGGATCAAGAACAGGGCTGTGTTTTCTTTCACTTCCGACTTTCGCTTTTAAAAATTCAAAATTATACAGCCCTAATCAAGACATGTATTTTTATAAAATCTATTAAGCACTGGAATTTCGTTTAACATTTTTCAGCAATTTTTTTTCAATCTTTTTTCTTTAAAAAGAAAAATTGCCTTTCCTTTAAGGCCCTTTTATTTTAAAAAATTATTTAAAAATTATTAAATCATCTTCTTTAAAATTTATTTAAATTTTAGAACAACATAAAAATGAATATCCCCCAACATTCAATTCATCAATGTATTACACCAGAACCAACAACTCTAAAAAATATTAAAAATGCCGTTGTAGTCGATTCCCTTTTATGTTTTTTCAACAATTTCCGTTCCCTTCCACAAATCAAAACAATTTTATTAAATAATTTTTCAACTTTATCTTTTCGTCATTCGCTCGAATTAATTTGTAATTTTGTTGGAGAGAAAAAAGAAAATTTAAATTTTGAAAAAGAAAATAATAAACAATTTTTGTGTGAAGAAATTTTGATTAATTTTGAGAAATTAATTAAAGAAGGGAAATTGCCGGTATTTGCTGCTGCTGATCTTCATTGCCTTCCTTTAAGGCCTTTCTTTTTTGAAGAAAATAATTGTGGAGGAGGGGGAGGAAATGGAAACAACAATCAACTTTTGGATGAATTGAGACAAATTAGATTTTTGTTGCAAGATTGTTTGTTGCTACACAAAGGAAGGTGGGTTGTTTGTTTGTTTTTTTTTTTGAAGAAGGGGAAGATTATTTTGGGGGGTTTTTAGAAGTTAAATATCTCGATAATAAGTAAATATACTTCAATTTGAGTTTAAAAATTAGTTGGGGAGGAGGAGCTATCTAAGCGATATTGGATACCCCCTCATAAGACACTGACTTTTTATGTGTTTCACCGGAACCGAGATTTTAACCGGAATCAAAAAACGCCGGAACTTTCCGGAACTTCCGGTGAAACTCTATTTTTAAGCTTCAAAAGTTTGTCTAAAAGTGAGGTGTGATTTAAAATTTAATTACTTTGTAAAATTAGGTATTCTCTCTTTTATTTTCTTTTTACTTTAAATATTTAAAGCCACCCTTTTCCATTTTTATAAATAATCAAAAATAAAAATTTTCCCATAAAATTAATTTCAACTTTTAAATTACTTTTTCCTTTTTTAACCTTTTAATTTTCTTGTCAATCTTTTAAACTTCCTTTTTTCTTTAAAAAATATTTGCCGCCTTTACTGCTTACCTAACTAAACTTTTGACCCCTCAAAGATTTTTCTTTTTTTTATTTGTGTCACAATTTACCTCAAAACTTTTCTAACCTTTTAATTATTTTCTCAATATTTTTTTTCGATAAAAATTATTTTCTTCTTCAATCCATTTCCCCTTCATTTAATACCTTTCTCTCCCCCTTAATTTACCTCAATAATTCCCTTTACCTCTTCGATTAATTGCTTTGATAAGGAAATAACGATTTTTTAACCTTCCCTTCCCTTTTTTGTCTATAAAATCATTTAATTATTTATTTTTATTTCCCTCATTAAATTACTAATTTAGAGGGGAAATAGAGAGGGAGGGATATAATTTTAATTAATTGTGGCTTTTATTGGAGGGGAGTTTTCTTGGAAAAATTAAAAAAAGAAAGGATTTATTTATTTACAGTAATATTTTTAAATTGCTTTTATGTGGTTGGGTGGTCGAGGGAGGGACGAATGAGGGAAAACATGAAAAGAATAAAAAATTGTTGGGTGTAAGGGGGAAGAAGCATTCGAGAAACTACATATTTTAAGAAAATATTTTAATTTTAGTAATTTTTTTTAAATTTTGAAGAAATGTTCAATAAAAGGATTAACTCTTTATTTACTACAAACTAACCTCTCTATAAAGATATTAGAGATGAGATTTTTGAAAAGCCTGGGCCTGTTCCTGGGTTCCGGATTTAATTTATTGACCTGGGCCGGATCCTGGGCCTGTAGTCCAGGGAAAACCCAGGCCCAGTAAAAATCCAGGAAGGTAAAAAAATGCCTGGGCCTGGACTCTGGGTAAAGGAAAAACCCAGGCCTTGGTCCAGACCTACATATAAGATATACCCAATAAAATATATAAAGACACACCCAATAAAAGTTTACACCTCAATTTAAATTACTTTTTTATTGGCCACTGGGTGGGGGAACTGATTAAGCAATACCACCACTCCTATCTAAGATACACTCATTTTATAAGATAGAATCTTCACAACAAAAACAAGGTATACGTCTGATCGTGCATTATTAACTCAAAAATAAATTTTTAAAAAATTATTTAATTATTTTCCCCCCTATTTTACCTATATTTATTCAATTTATTCAATCATCACACCCTATATTTTTGTTTTAGTACTTTTTATATATCAATTTAACTACTAAAAAGCAGCAGCACTTCTCCTCTACTACCACCCATATTTATTTTTATTTTTTTATTTTTTTAATGTAAAACAGTTCCTTCCTTCCTCTATTTATCTCTTTTTCAATCATTTTACTAAAAATAAATACAAATTCCCTCCTCCATTCATTTACAAAAGTTAGAAAAAAAAGAAACGATTAGTAAGTGGCCAGGAAAATTGGAGAGTGCCGACACTTTTCTTTTTTTTATTTAAATAAATTCAACAAAAAATACATATGTTTTTGTAAATTTATTTCAAAGAAAAAGCTGCCAACAAAAAATCTTTTCTTCCCTTTTTTACCCTTTTTGTCTCAATTTCTTTTCCCCTATTGTTTTCAAATAAATTAAAGAAATTGCCGTCTCTTTTTAATTTTCCCCCTTTTACCCTCTTTGGCCACAGATTTTCTGATGATGATCAGAAAAACAAAGAGAGGAAAAAGGGGAAAATTAAAATAAAGAGAGAATAAAAGCTTTAAAGATGTGTTGATTTTGTGAAATGTTTATGAGAATTTTGTCGGGGTTGATTTTGTTATAAGATTATAATATTTATACAATGTTTTTATTTTTCTTTATAAAATCTAAAAGAATTTTTAAGAAAAGAAAAAAATTTTACAAATAAAGACAAAGGGACTTGGACTTTACAATGAAAATAGGGATGTTACGGCGCCAATAAAATAAACAAAAATGGTCCTAGAATTCTGAAATTTTGTGAGGAAAGTCTTTTGGATGTTCTCTAATAATTCTGAAAATTTCTGAATTTTTGGTTCATTAATTCGAAAGTTACGGGGGGAATAAGACAACGTAGTCGACGGACTTCAACGACTTAATAGATATTTTTGCCCATAACATCCCAAATAATCAACCAAAAAATCTGAAATTTTCTGAGGAGCTAGTTAACATTATTTAAGATATTTACACAAAATTTCACGTTTTTAAAATTATTTTTAGGCAATTTTATAAATCCGCGCCTAAATGTTTCTTTTGTTGAACTTCCCTTTACCCTCAAAGGAAGAAAATAAAAATTGTGGGTTTATATGTAAAGAGTTGGAGGGGGGGGGGGAATTGAAGAGTTTATGAGCTTTCCCCCTCTAAACTCTCTTTTCTAGAGGAGCGGTGAAACAATATTGTCAAGGCTAGAAAATTTATTTAAATAAAAAAAGAATGGATATAAACACATTATTCCCCCTTTTTAGAGGGTCAGATTTCTAGGAAGGAACGGAGATCTATCTAAACACAATATTGTGTGTTTAGATTGAGGACAAAATAGAAGAGGAGAGTTTAAAAAATAAATTTAAAAATCGGAACTTTTTTCTTTAATTTTTTGTTTATTCACAAAAATATAAACAAATGTTGGAAAACATTTTAATTTTTTTACTGAGTTTTTAGACGGCAATTAATTTAATTCTTTTAATTAAAGAAAAATGAGACAGTTAATTGTTGATAGTTTTTGAAAAAGATTTCTCAATTTTTGATTATCTTTTGAAAAAACCTCGCTTGAGTAAGGTTGTCAGTTCAAAACCGAACTTAGGGTTGTTCCGGATATCCAAAGATTTTTTTATAACCGACCCCCTCTCTAAGGGCCACTTTTATCAGAATTATTTGTTTTAATCAGAGGTGATTCGGGATTCTAATTTCCGGATTTTTTTCCTTCCGATTTCAGAAAAAAATTTTTGATTTCCGATTTCCGAGTTCCGACTTTTGAGCCAGTTCCGATTTCCGGCTCTTCCAATTTCCGACACCTCTGAGTGTTCCGGCCCACCTCTGGTTTTAAAGTTTTGGCTTTCTCCATGTGAAAATTAATTAAAATAAAATTCTCTTTTTTCATCATTTATTTAAAAAATAAATTTTTAAAAAAAAATTTGCTCACAATTTTTTAAATTTTTTATTAAATTCAAAAAATTATTTTTTCAGTTGTTCATTTCGACATTCAACAAATAACATGTCCCCATCAACACATTCAATAGCTTCAATAACAACATCATCAACAACATCCTCTCCTTCAGAAACAACAAAACCTTCTTTCCAACAATTTACTCCAATACAAGACCAACAACAACGTTTATTCTTACCTTCATTAACAAATTCCCCTTCTACGCCAACAAAAGGATTAAGAATTGAACAAGTTTTGCAAAAACTTTCAAAAAATAAAGATGTTGCCATTGCTGATATTGTCGAGAAGCAAAAAAAGAAATTAATTTTCGAGAAAAATAATGGAGGAGGAGGAGGGAATTTTGGGGAAGGTAAGAAGGAGAAAGGAATTTTTAAAATTATTTTTAAAAAATTTGGGATATTCTGTCTTGATCGTGGAGAAATTGCGAATTCCGGATTTTTCTCAAAAGGTCGGAGCGACGCATTTTGCAGAATTAATACCGTAAATCTTGGTAATCCCGATTAGTGTTATTCAAACGCGTTTTTTCGGTATCGGTATTTTCGGTAAAATACCGATACCGAAAAAATACCGATTTTTTTTAATTGTTCGGTACCGTATTCGGTATCGGTATTTCGGTAAAAATACGGCGGTATTACCGAAAAATACCGCCGTAATACGGTACCGTGAATAACACTAATCCCGATTGTCTCCGGGATTTCAGATTTTATCCACTTCCATTATATTATGGAAAATCACTCCTAAACCTCATACTACTTTTACTACGGTATATTTTAATTTGATAAAATCAAACAAGGATCCCTTTTAAGCGATATCTTAATGTATCGGATAACCAAAAGATGGGTTATCTCACCTTCCGTTTGTCTCTTCTTAAAAAATTTATTTTGCAAAAAAATATTCTCTTTTTTTCCAGCAACAACATCATCAATTTCTCCAGTAACTACTTCAATTGTTGTCCCTCCAACTCCCCCTACTCCTCAACCAACAACAACAGTAATACATCCAGCATTAGCATTAATGCAAATTCAAATGCTTGGACAATTAGCCTCTTTAAGTAATCAACAAAGAATATTTCAACAAAATAATGAACAACAACAAAATTGTTTAAAATTTTTAAGACAAGAAAATTCTGCTTTTTCAATTAACAGAAATGAAACAACAAAATCTTCTTTTTCTTTAATTCAACCAAAAGAAGAAGAAAATTTTATTTTAAGGTGAGAGAGACCTTTATTCTTAGACCTTTTAGATGGTAGCTGTAAAACAAATGTACATATCTTATGATAAAGTCTAAATAGGGGGGTATTGCTTATACATATGACCCATCACCCAGTGGCCAAACAAATTAAAAAATTTATTTTAAATAAAGGTATATGGGTTATTGGGTATATCTCCAAAAAAGGAATTTATCTCTCGAAGGAATTTATTTTTCAGAATTATATGTGAAGTAACGTTACCTTAATTTTTAAAATTTGTTTGAATGAGAAACTAATGTGAAATGTTGTACATTTATCCTTGATAATTTTCTAACTTTTTTATAACTTTCAGAATTTTTGGTTGAGTTTATTAGAACTAGAAAGGTCCTAAAAACGTTAATTTTAGGCACATTTTGACCATAACTTTGGATAGAATAAACCGGAAATTCTGAAATTTTTTAGTCCTTTGGTTAACAGTATTGAAGATATCTTACAAAATTTCACATTTTTAGATTCTCATTCGGCTAATTTATAAAAGAACAACCAATCGCGAGTTTAACTCTACCCCTTACAGCTTTTCCAAATTTTTTAACGAAAAAATTTTTTTTTAATAATTTTAATAATTAATTAAAGAAATCTAAATTATTTATTTATCTATCTAAATTACTTCCTTTTCCAATCACCCCAAAATCATTATTTATTCACACATTCCACTCAAAATGAGCATTCCCATCACTCCATCACCTTTTTCCTCCTCTTCACATTTTTTCGTTTATTCCTCTCCTCCTCCCTTCCTCTCCTTATTATATCAATGCGCCCAATTGCGGCAGCAACGGAGCAAATTAATGTGTGCTCAATCACTAAAATGAGAAGAGAGTTTAAAATAAAAGAGAGTGACGGCGGCTGACCTCAATCCCGCAATAATAAAAAAAAAAGAAAGAAAACGGCACTCTCGAAGGTCAGCCGGGGAAGTGCTTTTTTTTTTATTCTGCCGCAATAGGAAGCTCTCTTCCTCCCTTCCCCTTCCTTCCTCTTCCATTCTTTCGTTATCTTCAATCAACTACCATATTTTCCTCCAACCGACAAAAATATTTTCCTCCTCTACAAACTTCAGAGCCTTTTTACTTTGGCGGTGCCTCCTCTTTTAGACGACCTTTTTAATAAATTTATTTATTTATTAAAACAAAACCGCCAGGGAAGGAGGGAATAAAAATTATAAAAAAGCTTTTAAGGTGTGGAGTGAAGAAGGGAAGGAAGGATGGGGGGAATAACGGGAGTGAAGAACGTGTGTGTGTTTGGGTGAGCGCGCGAGAGAGACAAAACTCTCCTTCCTTTCCTCCAACAACCCCTTTAAATGGCGGATTCCGTTTATTAAGAGGAGGAAAAGAGGAAAAAAATAAAGGAATGATCACACACAAAAACCTTCCCTTCCTTCCCCCCTTCCTTTTTTGGCTGCCTTAATAAAGCTTTTACGCCGCCGGGTTTGGTTAATATTAAATGATGGATTGAGGGGAGATAATGAAGAAATGTCGACGACGTGGAGAGGAAAGATTGGAGGGAAAGGAGAGAATAAATATTTGTGTTGATAAGGAAAAAATTAAAAAAAGAGGAAAGAAATGAGGGAAGTGGTTGGTAAAAATTAAGAAAAAATATAGATTTATTTGGGGAATGAGGGGATGATCAAAAAAATCATACGTCTTTTTAGGGCAAAAATAATGTGTAAAAAGAGGGAAAAAAGAAAATAAAAAGAAAAATCTTTAAGTTTTTCTGTGCGCCAAAAAGTTCTATAAGGCGTAAAAACACCAACTTTAAGTTTTTGCGTTCTAAACAGTTGAAATAAAATTTTGGCGCACAGCTTAAAAAGCACAAGTTTTTAAACTGATAAAATAAATTTAAATATTTTTAGTGAAAAATCAGAAGTGAATAAATTGCCAGAAAATGAAGAAGAAATGATGATAGAAGAAGAAAAAATGGGACGTGAAACAAAAAGGCAACTAATAATGACAGAAGAAGGGGCAAACTTGAGAGATTTAAATGGATTTATGGAAGAAGATTTTAATGAAGTTGACAGAGAGGGGGGAATTGTTTCTCCAACAATTACTGGAAGTCCAGATAAATCAGATGATTGTGATGTTTTGTCAGATCATGACAGTAATGGGACAACAACTGAATTTGAAAATGGAGGTGATTAAAGGGGAGGGGGAGGGAAAGGGGAACGAAAATTTGGCTGGAATTTGAACTGAAATTGAAAAAAGAATCCCGGAACTTCCGGTCTATCAATTGTATTCACACCTTGCTCTTACCAGAAAGGGGATTTCAAGAGAAAATTCAAGAAATATGTAAAAGAAAGGGAAATAAGAATACCCTCCTCTTTGAAAAAATATTAACCAATTAAAATATTAATTATAATTTAGAAAAGCCATTCTTTTGTTCATGGAAAAATTGTCAAAAACGATTTGCAAATAAATTTTTACTTAAAAAACATCATTTTATCCATACTGGATTGAAACCACATATTTGCCAATTTTGTATGAAACCGTAAGTTTTTTTTGAGAAATTGGGGGGATTCTGAATAAACTATTTAAATTTCCTTTCTTACAATTAGTTTCAATCGAAAAGACAATTTACTACGGCATAAAAAGACCCATTTACAAAACGGAATGAGTTCATCAGAAGGAATTAAACGAAGACACAATATGCTTAGAGGAATAACAGAACAAATGGCTATTGAATTACAACTTTTGCCGCTTAACAGTCGGGAAGGTAGACAAAGAGGAATTAATAATGATAATAGAAGGGCTAAAATAGGAGGAGGAGGAACACAAAGAATAGCTAGTAGTTCGAGTTGTAGTGATGAATGTGGAGGAAATATTAATTAATTTTGACAAAATCCGCAAAATTTTTATTCCCTAAATTCAATTTTTCCTTTTTAATTTTGATTTTTGCCGAACTTTTTACACTTTTTTCATTCCAGAATTTTAGCATTCATTTTTGGGAATTACCTAAGTACAGTCGACTCATTTTTAAATACGTCCTTAGGGCTGAAAATATATGTCTATACTTTTTGGTACCTTAAATTCGCTCCCGATGTATCTTTGGATGTATTTTTTAATGAGGTTCGATTGAATTTATTAAGATTTCTTAATATCTACGAGGATTTTATTCGACATAAACTTAAAATTGATATTTCAAAATTTAAAAAATCTCAGTAAAAAAATTCTTAAGTTTGTGTCAAATTAACATCCACAATTATATCTTTTTCACTCCGTCGGTCACAGGAATTCTCTATCTCGAATTATTGTATCCATTATTTTCTAAGAAATATATTTTATCAGTACACTTTTAAAGGAAATTGTTTAATTTTTAATTTTATAGAAGCCACACCCGGACGAAAAATAAAAGTCCGCAAAGAGTGAAATTTATTTCTAAAAAATATTTCTCAAGCTTTATTCTATTTAGACAATCCATATCAGTTAAAAAGATTGGGTGTATTGATAATTTAGAAGAGTATTTACTGTTATTTAATATTCCCTGCCAATTTTTATTTAATATTTTTCATTTTTGTAAAATTTACTTAATGTGCCGCATTATTAAATATTCCGTGCATTCATTAAATATTTAATTAGTTTTTAATTTCCAAAATTTTAGATGGGGGATTCTCAACCACAATAAAAAACTTTTCTAAGGCTTAAGACCGGAATTTCGTAACAAACTAAACACTACTAAGGGTGAGCGCAAGAGGAAAATCGTGAAAAACGCAAAGCGCTCACCCCTGATCACTACTCAAGACTCGCCAAAATTTTCCCAATTTTAAAAACTAATTAAATAACCCTTTTAAAATTGCCATTACTATTTTGTTCGTGCCTGAGTAAAATTTTTTTTAAATCTCGCAATATTTTCACACATTTTGTGATTTTGATTAAAAGCATAAATAAATAAATATAGAATTTTTGTAAAATAATTTATTTGAAAATAAGCTTTGGAATAAATTACAAAAAGGCAAGTAAGAAAAAATATTTTTAAAAAGTGAAGACAAAAATGAGAGAATTTTATTCTTAAAGTAGTGAGAATGACTTGAATAAAGAAAATAAAGTTTAAGAAAAAATAATGATTAAAGTTGAACAATTTTCTGAGTAAGCATTTTTATTGCAAAAATATTTAAATTATTTTTAAGCAAAAATTGGTTTTTTAGATAAATTAAAGAAAATAAATAATTAAGGTGGAGAGGAGTTAAAATTTTCCAGAAATTCTCAGACCCTTTACTATATTCTTGATTTATTTTAATATAAATTGTCCAAGTCAGACTTGGTAATGGACATGGATTTTGGTATCCGTATCCGAATATTTACGGCGGATACAGACGGATATCCGCAGGCATTTTAAACTTATCTGTATCCGTATCCATTACCAAACCTAGTTCAATATATAGGGCTACCATTTGGGAAAAATATTTTAATTAAAAACCTCCACCCTTTAATTAAAAATAAATTAGGCATTCCTAAATTAAAATTGAGAATTACTTATAATTTAAAAGAGATTCTTCTACAATTTTTAAAGCAAAAAAACTTTTTTTAAACCCCCAATTCAACAGCTGATGGATTTCCTGTAACAATTTTTAAACGAAAAGAATTTAAAGGAGATGATTGTTCCGTTAAATTAACAAAAGGAAGGGCAGAAACTGAACATAGTAATTGTACTCCTCTATCAAAACTGTCATCATTGTGACAACGCAAAACAAAAGTTAAACCGTGATGGATAGAATTTGAAGCTCTAATATTATTTCCGCAAATTAATGACCATTTTGATTCTGGCAAGTCTTCCTTTAATTGAAAAAAAGAATTTATAAAAATGCTGATTAAATCTTTTAAAAAAATAATTATCTAACAAATTGTTTAAACGGTCTTAGAAATTATGGATCAAACCCAGGTAATCCGACAGAACTCAAAAAATATCTTAAATGATCTCAAGTTGATTTAAACGCTCCTCGGGAGAATTTGGGAGTATGTGTTGAAATACAGGGTGGGGCAAAAGTTCGGCGACAAATTTTATTTTGTCCTTTCTTAAAATTTACTTTATATTTTGCTTTGTTTTTAGATTTTCCATATTCTATGATTCACGCTCTACACATTTTATCTTGAAAATTTTTTCCTATCTCATAAAGTAAAAATTTTACAGAATGTTAAAGAATCGTGCTTCTATTATTTTTTTGTTTTTTAAAAATGTTCGAAAATGTGACTTCGCTAAACGGCTCGATATCTGTCGTATGCTAGTTTCCAAAGCAATAAAACGATATCATGAGCTTGGAAATACTAAGGACCATCCTAGTAGTGGCCGGCCGGTAACCGCAGTTACGCCTGAAAGCATAAACGTGGTCAGATGCCAATTTCGCCATTTTTCCGATCAATCGATGTGTAAAACGGCCTCAGATCTCGGAATGAGCCCGAGTAGCCTCCAAAGAATTGTCAGAGTGAAGCTTAGACTTCGGAGCTAAAAGATCAGCCGCGCATATTTTTTTATCTATCGAATGAAGCATCAGAAGCTTCAGAAATGTCGAAGGATTAAACGCCTGGTCGCAGCTGGTCGCCATAAGAGAGTGATGAAATGTAAAAATTAATGCTAGTCTAAAAATGGCATTCTGAGGGGGGGTTTGAATCCTTGGGCGTTATAGCATTACGGAGAAAACCAATTCTCGCTTCAGCAGGATTGAGCACCCGCGCATGGAGCCAAAACGACAATCCAGCTCTGTGGGGAGCTGTTTCCTGGTTTTTGGGGGAAAGATTTAAGGCCTTCAAACTCACTGGATTTAAGTCAGTGGATTATTCTATTTGGGCATTTCTGGAGCAAAAAGTATGCCGAATCCGATACGCAACATCGGAGGAACTGAAAATTGTTTTGGGCGGGCCTGGAACGAAATAACCGATGAACAATGCGCGACCATTGTGAGTAACATCCGTAAGTGTTTGGATGCGTGTATTTCAGTGAGGGTCGGTCATTTTGAGAAATTACTTTAACAAAATGATTATTATATCCTATTGATTATATTTTATCATTTTTTAATCTTAAATAAAATTTTTTTACAAAAGATTTTATTAAAAACATTTGTCGCCGAACTTTTGCCCCACCCTGTATAATGATAGTAAGGATTCTGAATTCAAAATAAATTCCTATTTTTCCACTTTTGTCAAATCTCTTAAAATTCCCATTTTATTTCCCAAACATAAACAATTTATTATTAACTTCCAATTAATAATCCAAATTTGGTTTAAAAATTTACCTGGAAAGGCATAGCATTAGAGAAAAATCGTTGAAGAAATGTACGAGCCGAGAAACCAAAAGCCAAACAACGTTGTACGTGGGCAAACACTAAAAATAAATAACAATTTATTTTTCAAAAAAAACAAAAAAAAACCTGAAGATTGTGTGTGAAAACGTTCCTGTCGTGTATAACGCAAAAATCGATTCAATTGTTTTGCTATAGAGGAGAGCACAGCTTTTGCAGCTACTTGTGGATCCATTGGTTCTACCTAAAAAAACAAAAAATTTATCGCACCACAGAACTCCTTACAATTTGATTTCCAACTGCTCCTATTTTCATGTCATTTTCAAATTCAGAAGATTGAACTTGGGCAAAAATTTCCTCGGTACAACTAATTAGACGACATTTTCTTTTTTTGAAACGTCTTTCCCAATCACATTCCTCATGAAATAATTCGTTATGAGCAGCCATACGACGTTGGGAGGCAGCCTTGAAATAAATTGATTTAAAAATAAATATTTAGGGGTCGAAGCTTGAAGAAGGTCATTTGAAACTTAAATGTTAAGGAATGGATTTGGAATCTCACAGACTTGGTTGACACGCAGTTTCTGAGCTCCTTAGGGTTTCCCGAACTGTAGGTTCAGTTTCGCTCATATATTATAGAATCCAGAAGGTGAATTTAATTCGATGAAAAAATACGACTGTCTTAATATAAAGGTTTTACGTAGCTAATAATTGTTCAATTCAGAAAGTAGATTAAAAAATTTCCCCTCATTTAAACAAACCTGCATTAAAATTCTTGCATTCATTTCAGAAAGTGCCGTTGTTTGATCCCCTTGTCCATCAATATCATAAAGTTTAAATCCTGGCCTACCCATAGCTGAACGGAAACGGCCACCAAAAGTATTTGAACGCCGAGTATGTTCCAAAACAGAATTGTAGACTGGAAAGTGAACTCGGTAAAGTAAAAGAACTTGGACAGCCGCTTCTTGAATACTCATTTGGCCAATCTCATGGGAATGCCATTCACCGTCCTTAAAGTTATATTTAGAATTAATTTTGAAGCCGACAAAAGTATTTTTGGGACAAAAATTTATGGGGTCAATAGAAACAAAATTTCAAACATGGCCAAAATAAAAGGGTTAATTTAACGACCACAGATGATGAATAATAAAAGGTATTTTTACGAAAATGCATGTTAGGAAAAATTTTAGAAATGGGCTCCTAAAAATTTTGACCCTTTAAAATCGGACCATTTTGGTTTCCTTTATCTGCCCCTTTCTATAAAAATAAAAAAATATACCGGATCTCGAACAAAATGAATACAATAAACTGGTCGAATTTGTCGAAGCTCAAAGAAAATCCAAATGCAATGAATAAATAAAAGAATGTCGAGTAAAGAGATTGCAAAAGAAATTAAGTAAATTAGTTGAATATTTCTTTAAACGAAAAATTATTTTAAAATAAATTATTTAAAGCAAACCTTTCCAAAAGAATTCGAGCAGTATAAAATAACCAAAATGCAAAAAGTATAAAAAATACAAAAAGGGCAAAAGCAGCTCTATGTAAATGTAAACGAGGCAAATCTGCAGTAGAACGGCGCCAAAAGAGAACATAAAGGGC